GGAGGATAGTAGTGAGGGGATGGTTGGAGGATAGTGAGGGCGAGGAAGGTTGGGAGTAGGATAGTAGTGAGGGGAAGGTTGGAGGGATAGTAGTGAGGGGAAGGTTGGAGGATAGTAGTGAGGGGGAAGGTTGGAGGGATAGTAGTGAGGGGCAGGTTGGAGAATAGTAGTGAGGGAAGGTTGGAGGGATAGTAGTGAGGGGCAGGTTGAAGGATAGCAGTGAGGGGGAAGGTTGGAGGGATAGTAGTGAGGGGCAGGTTGGAGGGATAGTAGTGAGGGGAGGTTGGATGGATTGTATTTAGGGCAGGTTGGAGGGATAGTAGTGAGGGGCAGGTTGGAGGATAGTAGTGAGGGTACAGGTTGGAGGATAGTAGTGAGGGGCAAGGTTGGAGGGATAGTAGTGAGGGCAGGTTGGAGGGATAGTAGTGAGGGGCAGGTTGAAGGATAGTAGTGAGGGGGAAGGTTGGAGGATAGTAGTGAGGGGCCAGGCTGGAGGGATAGTAGTGAGGGGCAGGTTGGAGGGACAGTAGTGAGGGGCAGATTGGAGGGATAGTAGTGAGGCAGGGTTTAGAAGATAGATCCAATGAGGTACAGGGGTGAGTAAATCTAGTAAATAGAGTCCGTAGTGACAGTTCAATAGTATTCCTCACGGCATTGGACGGGAAGTGTGAGGGGAATTGCAGGAAGTATCGCGGGGAAAGGTTGGAACGCAAGGGGGGGAAGGGGGGTAAGTAGGGGCAGTTGGAGGGTATAGGAGCAGGTTTAAAGGGGTAAAGAGAAAGGTGATGGAGGGTGTATAAGGGAAGGTTGATGGGATGTTGAGGGAAAGGTTGGGGGGAGTGTTTATGGGAGTGTTGGAGGGAAATGTGAGGGAGGTTGGGGGGTAGTAGTGAGGAGGTGGAAGGATAGTAGTGATGGGGAAGGTGGAGGATGTAGTGAGGGCGGGTTGAGGGATAGTAGGAGGGCAGGTTGGAGGACAGTAGTGGGGGCAGGTTGAGGGATAGTATGAGGTGCAGGTTGGAGGGAATAGTGAGGGCAGGTTTGGGGACAGTAGTGAGGGGGAGGTTGGAGGGGGCGTGTGAGGGCAGGTTGGAGGATAGTAGTGAGGGGGGCAGGGTTGGGGGGATAGTTGGGGCAGGTTTGGGGGGCGTAGTGAGGGGGAGGTTGGGGGGACAGTAGTGAGGGGGGAGGTTGGGGGGATGTAGTGGGATAGGCTAAAAAAATCCAATGGGTATCGGTGTGTAAACTCGTAATGGGCCCTAGCGCCCACTCCTTCTTCCTTTTCCCCATCCCTCATCCTGCCGGAGTGCAGGTATCATCCAGGGAAATTTCCCGCCAAGACAGGGAAAGGAACCCAAGACGGACAGGATAAGGCGCCCATGGGGCTGGGGTGAGGAGCCGGTAAGGAAAAACGAGAAGGATGATGGGGGGGTGTTAAAGGGGGTGTTGATGGGGGGGTTTTATGGGAGGTTGAGGGGGGTGTTTGGGAGTTTGATGGAGTGTTTTGGGAGTTGATGGGGTGTTGATGGGGTGTTGATGGGGGTGTGTGGGTGTTGAGGAGTGTTTGGGGGGTGTTGAGGGGTGTTTATGGGGGTTGATGGGAGTGTTATGGGAGTGTTGTGGGTGTGATGGGAGTGTTTTAAAGGGAGTGTTGATGGAGTGTTGATGGGAGTTTAGGGGGGTGTTGATGGGAAGGGTTTGGGGAGTGTTGATGGGGGTGCTGATGGGAGTGTTTATGGGGTGTTGATAGGGAGGGGGTGTTGTTGTGGTGGGGTGGTTGTCGTGATTGGAGGGGGAGATCTACCAGGTTGACCCACTGCCCCCATCACCTTAACAGTCCCCACCAACAACAATTCTCCCCACCTGCCTTCCCCTCCCCCCAACCTCCCTTCCCCCACTCCCTCCTCCACTTTCCCCTAACCTGGCAACTCCTGCCATTGCTCCAAGGTGTTGCCACAGCCTTGTTATTCCTTGCTTCCTCCATGACAGTAATTCACATTCAAGTATATATACACACAGGCGTGTATATCTCCGTGTATATACATTAAGAGGTGCGTGTTTCTCAGTGCATATACACCGAGAAATGTGTATCACTCAGAGTATATAAACTGAGAGTTTAATGAATATTTTAGCAATTAAAGTGTTCTTGACTGGTTGTGTACAGGTTACAAGCAGCGTTAACCACCCTGGTAAGTTTATTCAGGTATACACAAACATAATTACATAGATTTATCATACATAACAACATATGTGTAGAGAACTTACAATAACCCAAAAAAAGTCAGACAAACTGACTTACTTCCATTGTGGTTCTCGTGTGGAAGATACACTTGAATATCTTACTAACCACCCAACCGCAGTGACATTCCTTTGTCTCTCGAACAACTTTACATTCCACCAGGTTGTTAGTGCCGTTCTGAGGACTATTAAAGAATGAATGTTGGGTAGGTAATGGAGGTTACTGGAGCGCTACGGAGCAACACCAACACAGACCAGCCATTGAGAAACTAGAGCACGTATGAAAGCTCTGTACTCACCTGCTTGTCACTTGTTTCACACTCGTTAAATGTGTATTGTTGCATATATTGTACAGTGAGCAGCACTGGTGGCGCTGACTGGGCACCCATAGAGAAGACAATACACGGAGAAGACAATACACGGAGAAGACAATACACAGGAGAAGACAATACACGGAGAAGACAATACACAGAGAAGACAATACACGGAGAAGACAATACACGGAGAAGACAATACACGGAGAAGAGAATACACGGAGAAGACAATACACGGAGAAGAAATACACGGAGAAGAAATACACGGAGAAGACAATACACGGAGAAGACAATACACGGAGAAGACAATACACGGAGAAGACAATACACGGAGAAGACAATACACGGAGAAGACAATACACGGAGAAGACAATACCCACGGAGAAGACAATACACGGAGAAGACAATACACGGAGAAGACAATACACGGAGAAGAGAATACACAGTAGAGAATACACAGAGTAGAGAATACATGGAGAAGAGAATACAGGGAGTAGAGAATACACAGAGTAGAGAATACACAGAGTAGAGAATACACAGAGAAGAGAATACATCGCAGAAGAGAATACAGGGAGAAGAGAATACAGTGGGAAGAGAATACACGAAGAAGAGAATACAGGGAGAAGATAATACAGTGAGAAGAGAATACACGGAAAAGAGAATACATAGAGTAGAGAATACAGGGAGAAGAGAATATCTGGAGGTCTCTTCCCGAAGGTGTGTCATCCCCTACCACCCCCTCCCCTTCTATATATTTATGTGAATACGACCAGAAAGGTGGACGGGAGGCTCTAACGTGGTCCCCTAAATTAACAGGTCCAGCGCCTTATTACTGAGCTACGGAGGTCTGTAACAGAGAAAAGTGTCACACAAGGAACTGTTGTGTTCTATCTGCGCCAGTGAATATCTCTGTAACCTTACTGTCCCTTCCCACAGCCCAGGTACTTTCTATACTAAATGTATCCTCTAGGTAGTAATGAACGACTTTTTAGTAATCCACAATATATATATAATTCAAATTCAATTCAAATTCAAAGTTTATTCTCTATAAGGATTACAATGCTGAGTTTACAGAAATTTGGTTATTGTTTGGTTTACATGTAGTAAAATTGTGATTACAGAGTGTACCACTAGAACGCTTAGCATGTCTAGGCATTTCGGGCATACTTAGTTTTATTCTTAATTGTAAAATATTACAAATTATGAGGTAAGTTGGTATTATGGCTAAGTGACTAAATACTAGTTTGTGAGTTTAGCAATGTGAATGCTTTTGTTTTGGCACAGTATATAGTTTCATTATTGGAGTATCACAGGATTCATTATTTTAAGACTGAGATTAATATTTCTGTTTATGGTCAAATGAGTGAGTGTAAGTGTGAACCACCAGGTGGTATTCGTGTAGTTAGTTGACGGGGTGTATCAGGGAGATAAGATGTTTTCTAATGGTAGTTTTGAAGGTGATGAATGTGTCTGCAGTTCTAGAGTCTCAGGTAGGGTATTCCAGATTTTAGGCCTTTGACATACATTGATTTTTTGTAAAGGTTTAGTCGGACACGGGGAATGTCGTAGAGATGTTTGTGTCTGGTGTTTATGCCTGTGGGTTCTGTCACAACTATCAAGAAAGCGTTTTAGGTCAAGATTGATATTAGAGTTTAAGGCCTGTAGATATTAGATTGCACAGTAGTAAGTGTGGATGTACTGAACTGGGAGTAAGTTTAGATCTTTGAAGAGTGGGGGGGTGTGCTGCCAGGGATGGGATTTAGTGATTATTCTTACTGCAGCTTTTTGTTGGGTTATTATTGGCTTTAGGTGTGTTGCTGCAGTTGATCCCCAAGCACAAATAGCATAGGTGAGGTATGGATAAATAAGTGAGTGGTATAGTGTGAGAAGGGCATTTTGCGGCACGTAGTATCGTATCTATCGTATATATATATATAATATATATATAATATATATATATATAATATATATAATATATATATATATATATATATATATATATATATTATATATATATGTGTGTGTGTGTGTGTGTGTGTATATATATATATACACACACACACATTTACGTGAGTGAGTATTGGTAATACATGTGCAGTAATTAACTATCATTTTTACAGAAAGGTTTCGCCTGCTCAGCAGGCTTTATTAATCGAATACAGAAGCGACTTATTATTACTGACAGTGGAAGAAGTGCAGCCTCAACATCTTAAAAATACCTCCCCATTTCTTCCACTGTCTCCTGTACACAAGTCACCTCTATATTTCGATTGAAAAGCTTGCAGTGCCTGCAACACTTCGCTAGAGATACCCAGGTGTTGCACATGTGTCTTATTCATCATCTTGTCGGCATTGTTCACCATTAATATAATGATCTCTATCTGTGATGTAATGATCTCTGTGTATAATGTTACAAATGGTAATTAATTGATTGGAATATCCCCCCAGGGGCAGAATGTAGACCAGAACGCCCTGGACTCGGCGTCGCTCCCTGTGGAACACCGAGGCGGTGACATCTATGGTCCCCCGCTGGGAGTGGGCCCACAGTTTGGCCTGGGGCCACAACTAGGAGGACTGGGGCCGCAGCTAGGAGGACTGGGGCCACAACTAGGAGGTCCTGGAGCACACCTAGGAGGAGTTGGGCCCGTACCAGCGGGACCTGATGATCCTTGGCCCCTAGCGCAGCCAGACATGAATACCATTAAAAACCTGCAGGTTTGTTGACGGAAATAAATGGTATAAAATACCGACATAATGGAAAAGTAAACACAGAAGCAGCAACATTATCCACCCGACTCCATCCTATAAATACTCACGTACCTTCCACCCAGGTAGATCTGTTTGTGACTTGATAAAGCCAACTGTGTGGGCGAAATGTTGTCAATAATGGATCACATTACTGCTTCTGTGTTTAGTTTTCCAGATTTGTTGACAATTGTTTTTTGCGCTGTGCAAACAAGTCCATCCTTACATCCCATAACTAAACAAGTTCATCCACACATCCCATAACTAAACAAGTTCATCCACACATCCCATAACTAAACAAGTTCATCCACACATCCCATAACTAAACAAGTTCATCCACACATCCCATAACTAAACAAGTTCATCCACACATCCCATAACTAAACAAGTTCATCCACACATCCCATAACTAAACAAGTTCATCCACACATCCCATAACCAAACAAGTTCATCCACACATCCCATAACCAAACAAGTTCATCCACACATCCCATAACTAAACAAGTTCATCCACACATCCCATAACCAAACGATCCATTAAGCAAGTGATCGTGATAGTTACTATTACAACCCAGGGACAATAAGGCCTGTTATCCTGGGTGTCAAGGGGAGAGAGAAGCAGAACACAGCTGAATGACTTTAAAATATATTATCCTTCACCAAGCAAGAACAGAAGTATATACACTATGTACAACAATAGGTATAAGTGCACTCCACGATAAGCAAGGCAGAATAGATGCCACTAGAGAGCAGACTGCTTCAACCAGCTCTAGAATGGGAATGACAAGGGCAGACAAGCGGGTGGTGCCCACAACACCTCTGTGATTACCAGAACCATCTTCTCATTGGCTGAACCTGGGTACTGATCGATCGACGGGGCCCTATCGTTCGACCCCTAGTACTGGTTCGCTGGTTAGGGGAGATAGCCTTTCAATGAGAGTGTGTACATACGCCGAATAAAGGTTACGTACTCTTTGCATGCCACAGCTACTCAGCGAACAACAAAAGCTAGCTATGTTTTCCCATAATAATAATAATAATAATAATAATAATAATAATAATAATAATAATAATAATAATAATAATAATAATAATAGTAGTAATTATAATAATAATAACTTACACAGACCATACATCAGTGATATACTACTATATAGGAAGCCGCTTGTTATACAGAGCATTTCGGGCAAATTAGGTCACTTTTGTCCCAGGATGCGACCCACTCCAATCCACAAGCACCCGGGCACCTATTTTACTGATGGGTGAACAAGGGCAGCAGGTGTCTTATGGAAACACGTCCTAATGTTTTCCAGCGATACCGGAGATCGACCCCCGGACCTCAGTGTGTGAGCTGAAGGCGCTACCAGCCGAGCTACGGGTGAGTTACAAAATATAATATCAAAATCTGTCAGTCAGCGGTGGAAGTTAAAATCATCTGATAGCGCCGTCAGTTCATGACTGAGGAAATCAGTTTATAACCTTTGGAACGAGTAGGAACTCTAGGTAAGTTTCCTTACACCTGTTGCCCTTTATTCAACTATCAGGAAGTAGGTACCTGGGTGCTTGGTGATTGTTGTGGGTGGCATCCTGGGGAACAAGATCAAAGGATCACAGAGAAAATAAGCCAGACTGCCTGGCTTACCTGGGACATCCTGAACTGTTAACTCTAAGTTGACTACCACCCAGAGGATGGATGTGGAGTGACTACCACCCCTGGGAAGGGGATGGAGTGACTACCACCCCTGGGAAGGGTATGAGGTGACTATCACTCTTGGGAAGGATATGTGAGGTGCACAATAAAACTGTGACATTAGTCTGGTTCTCACTTACAGGTTCAGTGCGAGAAGACCTTCATGAGAGTGTCCATCGAGTTCGACAGACCCTTCTACGGTATGATCTTCAGCAAGGGTTACTACAGGTGGGTCCTCCAGGGTGTGTCTGGTGTCCTACACACACACACACACACACACACACACACACACACACACACACACACACACACACACACACACACCTAGCCAAGCACGTGAAGAAACTAGAGAAAGTGCAAAGGTTTGCAACAAGACTAGTCCCAGAGCTAAGAGGTATGTCCTACGAGGAGAGGTTAAGGAAATCAACCTGACGACACTGGAGGACAGGAGAAATAGGGGGGACATGATAACGACATACAAAATACTGAGAGGAATTGACAAGGTGGACAAAGACAGGATGTTCCAGAGATTGGACACAGTAACAAGGGGACACAGTTGGAAGCTGAAGACACAGATGAATCACAGGGATGTTAGGAAGTATTTCTTCAGCCACAGAGTAGTCAGTAAGTGGAATAGTTTGGGAAGCGATGTAGTGGAGGCAGGATCCATACATAGCTTTAAGCAGAGGTATGATAAAGTTCACGGCTCAGGGAGAGTGACCTAGTAGCGATCAGTGGAGAGGCGGGGCCAGGAGCTCGGACTCGACCCCCGCAACCTCAACTAGGTGAGTACAACTAGGTGAGTACACACACACAAACACACACACACACACACACACACACACACACACACACACACACACACACACACACACACACACACACACACACACACACACACACACACACGCACACACAGTGAATTTTTTTTAAGAAACAATACACTAGCTATTCCTAACAGATTTTTTTATCAAAAATTTTCACACATCAAGTGTAATGGTACACTATATGGCAGTAACACAGTGGGAACAAAAGCTAGGTGTGTTTCCCCTGTTATATTCCACCACACAGGATGGGTCACATACATAATGTTAAAATCTGAGCCAATGGTAGAAGCTGCCATCATTCATACACAGAATGTCGGTCACCCGGGGTTCTAACTTATGCATTTTCTTTCCCTGGCTGGCGTACACAGCGACCAGAACTGCGTGCATGTCCAGCCTGGTTCTGGACGCTTGCAGGCGCAGTTCGATATCTACCTCAACAGCTGCGGCATGACCTCCACCGCTAGCAGTGCCAACTACGGTCAGCCCACTCCTTCAGGTCACCTTCATCGAGAATACCGTCATCATTCAGTACGACCCACTGGTTCAGGAGGTGAGTAGTGACGCTTTCCTCTGTAGTTTAAAACTTCAAAAGAAATTAAATCCTCCATTACAGTAGGTGGGATATAATTCTGTCAGCGCCTCACTTAAAGACCTATTTGTGACCTCTGTAATCCTGGTGTTTACGTTACAGCTCACAGAATGAGCATGAAGGCACACAACAAACCAGCCACTTAGGCAGCACAACTAACTACTGTCAGGTAGACTAAAATATACTAGTAGAATTACCGACAAGATGTTAGGTACATGGACATAAATACAACTAACGTGATATTTTATTGTGGCAACGTTTCGCTCTCTAGGGGCTTTGTTGGCTTGACAAAGCTCCTGGAGAGCGAAACGTTGCCACACTGAAATGTCACATTAGCTGTATCTGTATCCAGCTACCTAACAGACTAAGATATACTAGCATTATTACCAACAGAAGTCACTTGTTAATTGATGAGATATTAACTTGTTTCTCACCTTGGCAACACTGAAGCTGTTGTATTGATTTTAAAATGTAAATTGAAGAGACTATAGCAGGTAGAGGGAGATAAAAATATCTCAGTTTTGACTCGGCCGATGGTCCAAAAGGGAGCGAAACATCGTCACGAGGACCCTCTCAAGTGCGAGTTACCGGTATACTGGTGGGGAAAAACTGCTAACTCCCTCTACAGACATTTATTCGTTTTGGTCACCGTAACATTCAACGTTTTGGTCACTGAAACACTGAAATTGTCTCTAATAAATGCCGAGGAAGCTCTCTACCCTCTCAGTGAATTACATTTCTCCAATATCAATTACCTTTTCATCCACCATAAATATAATTATTATCATAATTATTACTACCATAATTACGGGGAAGTTCAAGACGATAACTATTAAACTGATATTGTTTCCTTTTAGAAATTACTCACAGAAAAAAGTAAAGAATGTGATAATACTTCAAGATACTAATAAATCTCAAATAAAGCTTACAGTGAATAAAAATAGTCAATAAAGTTTAGCTAGAACCAGCCATAACAGTCACATAGGATGTATACATTATGTTGTGAATATCTCTCTGTGTATATATATATACACTGAGAGACTGCTTTAATACCTGGTTTAGGGATTAATAACCCTTGTGTAGTTGAAAGGCTTGAAACCCCCACATTAACCAATCAACCGACCGTAAAATGGTAACCAGGACGACGTGTCAACCAGGCTTGGTGGCGACGCCCTGATGACCCACAGCAGATCGACACGTCACTTGTTTACCACTTCGAGTGTCCGGATTAGTTATAAAGAGAGAATTTTTTTTTATTTAGGAATCATGTAGGCTCAAACCTACGACCTCCAACAAGGAAGCAGAGACAGTCTCGTTTAGGTCATGACACCTGACTTAGTCATGCACTGTATGATGTACGGTCAGGAAGAATTAGACACATGTCGTGCAGTAGATACTCTGAATGACTCTCGTGTAGTACTCTTAATGACCCTCGTATAGTACATACTCTGAATGACCCTCATGTAATAGATACTCTAATGACCCTCGTGTAGACGATAGGTTCTTAATGACCCTTGTATAGTAGACAGGCTGTTAATCCCACCAACCTTCTTCATTTACTCACACTGTGACACTTGCAGGTGTGGGACGCAGCCAGGAAACTCCGTTGTACCTGGTACGACTACTACGAGAAGTCTGTCACCTTTAGGCCTTTCCAGGTGAGTGTTTAGGTTCTTCCAGGTGAGTGTTTAGGTCCTTTCAAGTGAGTGTTTTTGTCCTATCAGATGTTTAGGTCTTTCCAGTTAACTGTTCAAGTCATCATCCTTGGATTATACTTACCATGATAAACCCCTGAGTGCAAATTTGAGCCAAGGAAAGGGAGGGGTAGCTCTAATTCCTCGAATCAGGAGCCCCTCACTAGTACCTAGGCACTCCTTCCACTCGTCCCATTTTTTGGAAGATTCTGAAGAGAAGCCGCACCGGAGGTATTTGGAAGGTACATAAGAGACTGGAGTATAGGAAAAGAAATGTCACGCCCAGCAGGATTCGAATCTAGGTCGTTAGTTCTCCAAGAGTGGAGCTGACTGCCAACCTAATGCCATAAACCGCTCAGCTAGCAAGAATATTGAAGAGCTGATGACCTAGGTTTGAGTCATGTTGGGCTTGATATTTCTTTGTTTGTACTTTCCCTTGTTTCTTGGAGGGGGGAAAGTTAAATGTGAGCATAGGTAAGAACAAGATGATGAGAATAAGAGAAGAATCGAAGCATTAAAGCATGAGACACTTATAATAAGTAGTGTTTATTAGAGTAATAAACATTTAATATTTGAGTAACATTGAGTAACTTTTAACAATGGTGGCAAAGTTTTCATTTATTTACACTTCAACAAACATCTCTTATATCTGTTAACATTGTTACCGGAAGTATTTTAACCCTTTTTCCTGTATATATTTTGGTAGAATTACCGACAATATTTAAAGTAAAAGGACACAAGTGCAACTAATGTGACATTTTATTGTAGCAACGTTTCGCTCTCCAGGAGATTTATTAAGCTTTGACAAAACTCCTAGAGAGCGAAACGTTGCCACAATAAAATGTCACATTAGTTGCACATGTGTCCTTTTACTTTACAACCTTTTTCCTAAATATTTTTTTACGGACACTGGCCAGTTCAAACTTTCTCAACTCCATTTACCATGCTTCAAAAATATTGCAGTCCCTTCAGCCTCATTCAATATTTCTCGTTTGAATATCAAAAAAAAATTAAACTTTATTTTCTTATATTACAGCGTAAACAGTAGTTGAAGTGAATATGTTTGTAACAGTGATCATCTCCCCACCACAGGTTGACATGTTGAACGCTGTTACTGCCAACTTTTTGGGAGACAACTTGCAGTGTTGGATGCAGATCCAGGTTGGCAAAGGTCCCTGGGCCTCCGAGGTCTCCGGCATCGTCAAGATCGGCCAGACTATGACAATGGTTTTGGCCATCAAAGACGACGAGAATAAATTCGATATGATGGTTCGAAACTGCGTTGCTCATGATGGCAAGAGAGCTCCCATCCAGCTGGTGGACGAGCGTGGCTGCGTTACTCGCCCCAAGATCATGGGGAAATTCCAGAAAGTCAAGAGCTTTGGCACTTCTGCCTCAGTAGTGTCTTACGCTTACTTCCAAGCCTTCAAGTTCCCCGACAGCATGAATGTTCACTTCCAGTGTGTGATCCAGGTGTGTCGCCACAGCTGTCCAGAGCCACAATGTGTCGGTGGTGGCTTGGGATATCAAGGTTCAGAGAGCAACAGAGTCAACACTTATGTTGGGAGTCCAGACCCACGTCATACCAACAAACTCGTCGCGTCTGCTGACCAAGACAGCTCATCTTCACAGCAGCTTGCTCAGGCAAAATCTGGCGATGGCATTTCCCTTGATGGGGAAGAGAGGCCCATCCCTGTACCTGTAAGTGTCCCACTCAAATCTTCCAGCGTCAACTTTGCAGAATCAGAGACCAGAGATGCGTACCCTCAAGTCAATCGTCAGGGCACTCTTGACAGCGCCGGCCGACCCCGTTCTCTAGCTCATAAAAACTCTGAAGATGCAGATAAAGGAGAAGAAAGTCGAGTGCGTCGCTCAGCAGTACTTCATGTGTACCGCCGTGCTGCTCAGGAGATGACTGATGTTGCCACTGCCCGGGTCATCCAGGTAGTGGCTCCAGGCGATGTTGCCTTCAATCTCAACTCTGCAAATGAGACAGTTGTTGTTTCGGAGCTGCTTGACGATGCATCCAACATATGTATGTCTGCGACTGGTTTTGCTGCAGGTCTTGTTATGTTATTGCTAGTGCTGACCATCGCCTGCCTGGTGGCTTGCTTCCTCTACACCCGCGTGCGAACATTTAACGCCAAGGGCAGCGTCACTACCTTCGTGCAGGGCTTCGACAACCCAGAGTTCGTGAAGGTGGCGGCCGGTAATTGAGCCACACGACCATATCGACCTCCGAACTGTGCCATAACGCTGCCCTAACACGCCAACACCAAGGGGCAGGTGTACAATAACACCGTCCCGACAATACAACAGGTGTACCATAAAACCGTCCCGACAATACAACAGGTGTACCACAACACCGTCCAGACACTACAACACCAAGGGACAAGTGCATCATAACACTGTCCCCGACTCTTGGATGATGCAGGGTGTTACCATAACGCTGCCCCTACACCACAACATTTTCCCCACAGGTGTAGCCGACACTTGTTCCACTCCCTTAACTGTTTCTTCACTGCCAGCCAGTGCTGACGCCTTGACCACCGTCTCTCATGGCTGACTGTTATCTGTGACAGTGGACCGAGCAAGGGATGTGACTGCCTCTCAAACAATGTCATATGTTTTTTCTCTGATGTGCCCGTAACTTACATCCACCTTTAAAATACATATTTATATTTCCCCCACAAGGTACATCGCTCGAGACTCCTCAGTCTCTCAGCACCACGTTATTTAGTGTACACCTGTGTTGCACTTTCTGTATCAGCATGAACTTATTAACACAGGGACTCCCACAGTCCTCTTATCTCAGTAACTCAAGCACGTTAATAGCTTTATTTTTTTAAGTTACCAAAGCTAGGACTGTCTAGCAAGCCAGGGGAAGACACGACAGCGGGTGAACTGAGGTGTTAGCGCCCCTGAACAGTGCCGGAACCGGTAGTGTTTGCCCCAGCATCTTGCAAGACGGTCCCTCGGACTCAATCACTCCAGCATTCCATGGGGGCCTTGTTATATTTTTATCTTTATATGTTCTCAAGTTAAAATGTTATCGATGACTGGAATTAGCTGGCCTTTTTCCGCATTATTTATGATCTGTTTAGCACATTTTTTGTCCCTGACACTTACTGGAGTGTATAATTTTATAAATGACAACAACCAATCGAGGAAAAGCGATTTTTCCCCCTCACAAGTAGATGATAACATCACGTCTTGTACAGCTCTATGTAGATGTATGATAGCATCACATGTACAGCTCGATCCAGATTGCATAGAGCTGTACATGTGATGCAGATTGTACATGTAGATGTATGATTGCATCACATCATTTACAGTTCTATGAAGATGTAATGATAGCATCACATCATGTACAGCTCTGTGGCCCTCATCCTACAACACCTTATTAGACAGTGTGCACCCTCTCTCTCCTTCACTGTGACATTGACCTCTACATACGAGGGCTGAGAGACGAGTGCTCGCTGGTCTAGGAGCAGAGTTAGCGATAAACAATAACTGGCATTTTTTTGTATGAAGCATTACTATGTAGTACTGGTGTGTGTGTGTGTGTGTGTGTGTGTGAGCTTTGTTATTTTCTCTGAACTGCTTGTGTTGAAGTAGGCCAGCAAGCAGCCTTGGCATGGCCTCTCAGACTGACCTGTTGTCTGTCTTGAAGAACTCCAGCAAGCAGCCTTGGCATGGCCTCTCAGACTGACCTGTTGTCTGTCTTGAAGAACTCCAGCAAGCAGCCTTGGCATGGCCTCTCTGACTGACCTGTTGTCTGTCTTGAAGAACTCCAGCAAGCAGCCTTGGCATGGCCTCTCAGACTGACCTGTTGTCTGTCTTGAAGAACTCCAGCAAGCAGCCTTGGCATGGCCTCTCAGACTGACCTGTTGTCTGTCTTGAAGCACTCCAGCAAGCAGCCTTGGCATGGCCTCTCAGACTGACCTGTTGTCTGTCTTGAAGAACTCCAGCAAGCAGCCTTGGCATGGCCTCTCAGACTGACCTGTTGTCTGTCTTGAAGAACTCCAGCAAGCAGCCTTGGCATGGCCTCTCAGACTGACCTGTTGTCTGTCTTGAAGAACTCCAGCAAGCAGCCTTGGCATGGCCTCTCAGACTGACCTGTTGTCTGTCTTGAAGAACTCCAGCAAGCAGCCTTGGCATGGCCTCTCAGACTGACCTGTTGTCTGTCTTGAAGAACTCCAGCAAGCAGCCTTGGCATGGCCTCTCAGACTGACCTGTTGTCTGTCTTGAAGAACTCCAGCAAGCAGCCTTGGCATGGCCTCTCAGACTGACCTGTTGTCTGTCTTGAAGAACTCCAGCAAGCAGCCTTGGCATGGCCTCTCAGACTGACCTGTTGTCTGTCTTGAAGCACTCCAGCAAGCAGCCTTGGCATGGCCTCTCAGACTGACCTGTTGTCTGTCTTGAAGCACTCCAGCAAGCAGCCTTGGCATGGCCTCTCAGACTGACCTGTTGTCTGTCTTGAAGCACTCCAGCAAGCAGCCTTGGCATGGCCTCTCAGACTGACCTGTTGTCTGTCTTGAAGCACTCCAGCAAGCAGCCTTAACAGCGCCTCTCGCAGTGTCCTGCCTCGCACACACTTACTGGGTATTTTTCTATTATTTATTGTAAATATATAAGTATATTTATTACTTCATGTAATATTTATTTGTAAATCTGTAATAAAGTAATTAAAAATATTTACCAGCCGTTCTTTGTAGCCTACATATATAAAAAAGACTAAAGTTACAGTACTTAGATACGCATCAAGTAATAATAATAATAATAATAATAATAATAATAATAATAATAATAATAATAATAATAATAATAATAATAATAATATCTTTATTTACTACAAGTACATGTACAAGGTATACAGTCCTAGCTGACATCAGTGACATACTACTATGTAGAAAGCCGCTTGTTATGCTGAGCATTTCCCGCAGATTAGGTCAGTGTGTCCCAGGATGCGACCCACACCAGTCAACTAACTCCCAGGTACCCATTTTACACTCTGACCGCGGGTTCAAATCCCGCCCGTGGCATGTTTTGATGGGTGAACTTAGACAACCGGTGTAAAGAAACATCCTTAATGTTTCTACCCTCGCTGGGAACTGAACCCAGACCTTCGCCGTGTGAAGCGAGGGTTTTAGCCACCAGTCCAGGGGGCACGGCTGACCAGACGGCTACCTGTACTTACGTCTGGATATATGTATGGTTATAACTATGACCATAGTTTTTAGAGGGGTGGACCGGTAGGCCAACGGAAGGCCTCGGTCAGATGACCTAAAGTTCCAACGGCGGGTCATCATCTAAGACCAGCATCAGGAAACATTTGTCCTGTTTCCTGACGAATCTGTATGAAGACAGGATATATACACCGAGGGATATACTGTATTTCTCCCAGAGTATATATGCCGAGAGTTTGTTTTAATCCTTATTTTAGGGATTAAAGTATTTCTGAAAATTAAGACACATATGTAACAGTTGGGTATCTTTACTGGTGAAACGTTTCGCCTATACAGTAGGCTTCTTCAGTCAAATACAAAGGCAGCAATAGTAATGAAATAATGATGCAATCAGTCCTTCAACCTTGGAAAAAAAATATCTGAGGTGATCAGTTCTTCAGCCTGGAGAAGAGCTGAGGGACTGACCACCATGAAGCCTGGTCACAGACCGGGCCGCGGGGATGTAGATCCCGTAAACCCTCTCCAGGTATACCTCAAATACTAAAGTATTCTTCCCAGGTGGTGAAAAGGTTATGTGGAGCCTTACTGACCCCATACTGTAGTCCATAGGCATTAAACCCCATCAACTAACCAACCAGCTTCTGGATACAAGGTGCTGCCTATGTTGCCTCCCTTATTAAGAAGTATGTGATGAATGAGACACATGTGGAACACTTTGATAACTTTAATAAGAAACATTCTGGCCTGGCAACTGGCTTTATTGATCTCATACAGAGGTTAAAAAATTGGAAACTTATATGTATGATTTCATGGCTAAATTGGGATGACCTTACTATGTGTCAGGTTGGTTGCCAATATGACTTATTTCAGAACATAGTGCTGGCTGCCCAGACCACTTTTGTCCCGAGTAGGGAAATTACATCTAACAAAAATGATTCCAAAAGACAGACATATATAGGTGTATCAAAAGAGGGGATGGGCAGTTAAGAAATCAATATATTCAGTTAAAGAGAGAAATAAAAAAAAAAAGGAATAAGAAAAGCAAAAAGGGGTTATGAAGTTAAAGTCGCAAGGGATTCGAAGACTAACCCAAAAGGATTCTTTCAGGTATACAGAAGTAAGATTAAGGATAGATAGGCCCACTTAAGAGTAATTCACGTCAGATGACTGACAGTGATAAGGAAATGTGTGGACTTTTCAATACTTACTTCCTCTCAGTTTTTACACAGGAAGATACTGGCGAAATTCCAGAAATAATAAATTATGTAGAACAGGATGATAATAAACTATGCACGATTGTGGTAACTAGTGACATGGTCCTCGGACAAATAGAGAAATAACAAAAAAAGGCACAATACCGTGACTGGAACGATACACAAATAACCCGCACGTAAAAGAGAGAAGCTTACGACGACGTTTCGGTCCGACTTGGACCATTAACAAAGTCACACTAACCAGAAGTGGATCAGGACGGCTATGTATAGGCAGGAAGAGGTGGTGGTGGTGGTGGTAGTAGTAGTAGTAGTAGTAGTAGTAGTAGTAGTAGTAGTAGTAGTAGTAGTAGTACAAGAATGGTATATAATACCGACAAGATGAAATTAAGACACACGCGCAACACCCGGGCATCCCTATCGCAGACGTTTCGCCATCCAGCCAGCCACTGGATGGCGAAACGTCCACAACATCTTGTCGGTATTATATACATTCTTGTACTACTACTACCACCACCTCTTCCTGCCTATATATAGCCGTCCTGCTCCACTTCTGGTTAGTGTGACTTTGTCAATGTTCCAAATACAGAAACTAAAACCCAACAAATCCCCAGGCCCTGATGAACTGTTTGCAAGGGTGTTAAAGGAATGTAAAGAGGAACTTAGCATACCTTTGGCTAATCTTTTCAATATATCACTACAAACTGGCATAGTGCTAGACAAGTGGAAAATGACAAATGTAATACCCATTTACAAGGCAGGTGACAGGTCCTTAGCTTCGAACTATAGACCAATAAGCCTTACTTCCATAGTTAGTAAATTTATGGAATCAATATTGCCGAAGCAATTCGTAGCCATCTTGAAAGGCATAAATGGATTAATTCATGAATCTCAACACGGTTTTACAAAGGGACGTTTCTATCTTACGAATTTACTAACTTTCTTCATTAAGGTGTTTGAGGCGGTAGATCATGGTATTGAATATGATATTGTGTATTTGGACTTCAGTAAGGCTTTCGATAGAGTTCCACACCAGAGGCTATTGAGGAAACTTAAGTCTCACGGAATAGAATTTTTTTCCTGGGTAGATGCATAGTTGACAAATAGGCAGCAGAGAGTTTGCATAAATGGCGAGAAATCAGAATGGGGGCATGTCACAAGCGGTGTTCCTCAGGAGTCAGTGTTGGCCCCATTGTTGTTCACAATTTACATAAACGACATAGATGAGGAATAAATAGCGACATAAGCAAATTTGCTGATGACACCAAAATAGGCCGTCCAATTCATTCTAATGAGGAAATTAAATCTTCATCAGAGTACAAAACAAATTCTGGCCACAAAATAGAGCGAAACACCAACGTCAAAGACCTGGGAGTGATCATGTCGGAGGATCTCACCTTCAAGGACCATAACATTGTATCAATCGCATCTGCTAGAAAAATGACAGGATGGATAATGAGAACCTTCAAAACTAGGGAGGCCAAGCCCATGATGACACTCTTCAGGTCACTTGTTTTATCTAGGCTGGAATATTGCTGCACACTAACAGCACCTTTCAAGGCAGGTGAAATTGCTGACCTAGAAAATGTACAGAGAACCTTCACGGCACGCATAACGGAGATAAAACACCTCAATTACTGGGAGCGCTTGAGGTTCCTAAAACTGTATTCCCTGGAATGCAGGCGGGAGAGATACATGATTATATACACCTGGAAAATCCTAGAGGGACTAGTACCGAACTTGCACACGAAAATCACTCACTACGAAAGCAAAAGACTTGGCAGACGATGCAACATCCCCCCAATGAAAAGCAGGGGTGTCACTAGCACGTTAAGAGACCATACAATAAGTGTCAGGGGCCCGAGACTGTTCAACTGCCTCCCAGCACACATAAGGGGGATTACCAACAGACCCATGGCAGTCTTCAAGCTGGCACTGGACAAGCACCTAAAGTCGGTTCCTGACCAGCCGGGCTGTGGCTCGTACGTTGGTTTGCGTGCAGCCAGCAGTAACAGCCTGGTTGATCAGGCTCTGATCCACCAGGAGGCCTGGTCACAGACCGGGCCGCGGGGGCGTTGACCCCCGGAACTCTCTCCAGGTAAACTCCAGGTAAACGCGAGAGCACTCCAGGATGATTTGAATAGACTGATGCAATGGTCGGAGAAGTGGCAGATGCAGTTTAATATAGACAAATGCAAAGTTCTAAATGTTGGACAGGAAAATAACCATGCTACATATAAACTAAATAATGTAGATCTTAATATTACTGATTGCGAAAAGAATCTAGGAGTTATGTTTAGCAGTAATCTGAAACCAAGACAACAGTGCATAAATGTTCGCAATAAAGCTAACAGAATCCTTGGCTTCATGGCAAGAAGTATAAATAATAGAAGTCCTCAGGCTGTTCTTCAATACACAAATAACCCGCACATAGAAGAGAGGAGCTTACGACGACGTTTCGGTCCGACTTGGACCATTTACAAAGTCACAGTGTGACTTTGTAAATGGTCCAAGTATGACCGAAACGTCGTCGTAAGCTCCTCTCTTCTATGTGCGGGTTATTTGTGTATCGTACCATTCACGGTATTGTGCCTTTTTTTGTTGTTTACTGTTCTTCAACTCTATATATCCTTGGTTAGGCCTCATTTAGACTATGCTGCGCAGTTGTGGTCACAGTATTACAGAATGGATATTAATGCTCTGGAAAACGTACAGAGGAGGATGACAAAGATGATCCCATGTATCAGAAATCTTTCCTATGAGGATAGACTGAGGCCCTGAATCTGCACTCTCTAGAAAGGCGTAGAATTTGAGGAGATATGGTCGAGGTGTATAAATGGAAAACAGGAATTAATAAAGGGGGTGTAAATAGTGTGCTAAAAATATTTAACATAGACAGGACTCGCAGCAATGGTATTAAATTGGAAAAATTCAGATTCAGGAAGGATATAGAAAAGCACTAGTTTGGTACTAGAGTTGTGGATGAGTGGAACAAACTCCCAAGTACCGTCATAGAAGCTAAGACGTTGTGTAGTTTTAAAAATAGGTTGGCTAAATACATGAATGGGTGTGGGTGGGTGTGAGTTGGACCTAACTAGCTTGTGCTGCTAGGTCGGATGCCGTGCTCCTCCCTTAAGTGACGTGCCTGACCTCACTAGGTCAGTGAAGTCAGACGGTCAGTGAGCTTAAGCCTGGTGGGAGAATTGGACCTGCCTCGCATAGGCCAGCAGGCCTGTTGCAGTGTTCCTTCTTTCTTATGTTCTTATGAGACAGTGGAAAAAGTGGAGAGATGCAGTAGTTGAAGACACCGCCACTCATGGGCGGGGACTGCTAGTGGAAACAAGACAGTTTTTTTTTTTTAAGAAAACAGGCCGTGACCAGGAGGTAATCAGGAATGATCTAAGTAAGGAGAGGACGACTCCATTATCTTGGATCAAGAGCCTTTTGCCAGCATTGAGGTTTCCCCCTACCTCAGGTCGTTTCGGAATCCATCGGCCGAAGGGTTCGTCCGGCCCTCGGACCGTCGTAACCCATAAATCCAACTATTGCATTAATTTCCCCCAATTTGAAGATAATAATATAATATATAATATCTTTATTTCTACACGTACACGTACCTTGTACGTGTACTTGTAGAAATAAAGTCGACTAACTCCTAGGTACCTATTTTACTGATAGTGAACATAGACAACCGGTGTAAAGAAACACGCCAAATGTTTCTACCCTTGCTGGGAATCGAACCCGGACACTCGGCGTGTGAAGTGAGAGCTTTAGCCACCAGGCCACGGAGCACCATAAAGTAAGTTTATTCAGGTACAGGTACATATAAATACAGCTACACAAATTATCATACATAGTAATGTGTGTAAATTACCTAGGATAACCCACAAAAAAGTCAAATAAAGTAACATTTCCATTGGATTATTATTAATATTATTATTATATTTAGAGAAATGAAAAGACTTTTAAACCGTAGGAGTCCTATAACACCTGGGGAAGTGATAGGCAATCAAAGTCAATCGAAAAAAAAGCATAAGAAAATTCCAATTCTTGCATGGGTGTCCCGGTGGCTAAAGCTCCCGCTTCACACACGGAGGGCCCGGGTTCGATTCCCGGTGGGTGGAAACATTTCGACACGTTTCCTTACACCTGTTGTCCTGTTCACCTAGCAGCAAATAGGTACCTGGGTGTTAGTCGACTGGTGTGGGTCTGCATCCTGGGGGACAAGATTAAGGACCACAATGGAAATAAGTTAGACAGTCCTCGATGACGCACTGACTTTCTTGGGTTATCCTGGATGGCTAACCCTCCGGGGTTAAAAATCCGAACGAAATCTAATGTCTTATGAATATCTCCTTAAATAAGGGTAAATGGAAGCCTAGTACGGTGCCAGCCGACACTAGCCCTAGAAACCCCCAACAAAAACAAGAAGAAAGTCGCCAAGTCTCTGGATCATCTTCGCTGTATAACCCTTGTGGCTTAGCGCTTCTTTTTGATTATAATAATAATAATAATCTGGATCATCTTAAAAAGAAGAAAACTAAGCATCTTGAAGAAGAAGAGACACAGGAGGAACAGAAGAGTGGAAGTAGTGGAGTTACTGGGAGGAGAAGAAGCACAAGAAACCTCCTCCAGGAGACCACGTCTTCCTGAGGAAGAAGCCTCGTACATCTTGAAGTTACTAAGAGGCTTCAAGAGCGTTATATATCACCTCTTCTTGGTAACCAGCTTCAATCTCAACTCTCAGGTAAGTTATAAGAAGAAGCCTCGGAGATTAATGCTACCTGACCAGCCGGGCTGTGGTTCCTGCGTCGGTTTACTTGTGACCAGCAGTAACAACCTGGTTGATCAGGTTATGGTACGTGTCGCGGGGAACTTGACCCCCGGTTCACCCTCCAGGTATACTCCTCTAGGTATATACTCCTCCAGGTATACATTCAAGGTATATTATGTCTAGGTATATTCCTCTAAGTATACTCCTCCAAGTATACTTCTATAGATATATACTCCAGGTATACTCCTCCAGGTATATTTCTCAATTTATATTCTTCCAGGTATACTCTTCCAGGTATACCAGAATGATGACAGCCTCACTGGACAATAACTAATGGTAATAAAACACAACATACAGATGGTGGCATTTCATTAAGACGACGTTTCACCCACCAGGACCTTCATCAGTTACTGGAGTGCAAAACATCTCCATAAAATTCCCTAAACCTCACATTGTGTCTTTATTAACAGGTCGGTACATAATATCATTGGTGTACTCTGCGAGAACATAATTGGATCATTATCATGGAAAAAAAAAAGGTGTTGTATGATCCTTATGGGTTTAGTGCTTTATGAATGTAATGAAGAGCATAGTTTATTATAGACATATTTTCATTAAAATGAGTCTTATGATTCATAATAAAAAAAAAATATCTCTTGTACTTCAGGGACCCCAATGGAAATAAGTCGCCAACTTTTTTTTAGAATAAAAAGGCAGTACAGTGACGAACAATAAGATAAGATAAGGTTTCGTTCGGATTTTTAATCCCCGGAGGGTTAGCCACCCAGGATAACCCAAGAAAGTCAGTGCGTCATCGAGGACTGTCTAACTTATTTCCATTGGGGTCCTTAATCATGTCCCCCAGGATGAGACCCACACCAGTCGACTAACACCCAGGTACCTATTTGCTGCTAGGTGAACATGACAACAGGTGTAAAGAAACGTGTCGAAATGTTTCCACCCGTCGGGAATCGAACCCGGGCCCTCCGTGTGTGAAGCGGGAGCTTTAGCCAACAGGCCACCAGGCCACAAATAAAACATACATAGGAGAATGAAATGTATGACGATGTTTCACTCTGACTTGGACCATTAACTAGTCACACTAAATAATGGTCAAAGTCCGACTGAAACGTTGTCATAAGTATCATTCTCCTACATGTGGGTTATTTGTGTACTGACTTTTTTTTTTTTGGTTAGCCTAGGTAATTTACATGTATATTACTAGCTATTTAAGGCAGTTGTAATCATCTAAAATTGGTAATTATACTTTCAGGTGTCTGCTTGGCGGGAAAAAGAGACTTGTCAGATGTTTCCTGTTGCGTTTTTGGATAAATCGGTGTTAATACAAGAATTTTTTAAAATTTGAAGTGGAATATTCCTGAAGTATAGTTTATTAAAGATACAGTTTTGGTAGATTACTCAAAATGGCTACTGCTGATGATAGCTTTGATCAGGTAGGTTTATTCCAGACATAAAGTGCATGTGTAGGAAGAACTGTAATGAATCATTAGAGCTTGAACATGAGGGAGTTATGGAAACTCAGACTGTGGGGAGGGGAAATTGTAATTGAATGCTCATATTTCAAGGCCCCACAGCTCCGTTGTGTAAGCAGCACCTGTATACAGTATATGTCAGTGTTACAAAATGTGACTCCCACTTTCTGCTGATGTTCTTTAGCACCTCCATTTCTCCCATTTCTACTGTCTCTTTCATCTTTGCTGTGTAGCACTGAATAACCTCTATGGGTTTAGTGTTTCCCATGAATATATTAAAAATAATATAGGCCTTGAATGAAAAATTTAATTGCATGTTGGTCCCTGCCTGAGAATTAGATCTAGTTTGACTGGTTCATCTCCTTTCCTCATATTTTGTAGGTTTATGGCAACCCAGTCTAAAGGTGTTCTATATTATGTCATCAGGTTGCTTTCCTTTTCACATATTCCCATCACTGTGAGGTTGTTTTACTTCCCCTGACAAATTTTCTGGTTGATACTTGCCATGGTGAGCAGTTTTACTCTCTTGGTGGCCTGTGCCACTTATTGATATCCTCGTAGCTGCTGCTATATTCCTTCTTTTGTTTCTTGCCTCTTTGGGGGTTATATATGACTGCTATAACTCACGTCATTGTTATCATCGTCCCATTGCCTAGTCCCTATACTACAAGTTGTATAAAGCTTCCAAATTTCTGTTAAAATTGCTTTGTGTGTGCTCGCATAAATACAGTATACAGTAGTCCCCCCAAATTTGCAGGGGTTATGTTCCAAGACCATCTGCAAATTTGGAAATACCACGAATTCTGGACGCGGTTAGAAAAATGCCTATAAATGCCTGTTTTTATAGTTTAAACCCTAAATATGCCCCAAAAACACTTTAATTTAATTTCAAACTCAGCTTCATACAACACCCTTAAAAAAAAAAAAAAGGAATGTAAAGATAAACCCATATACAGTACGGTACTGCTATGTCTCCCACAGTGCTAGATGTTACCTCCATATGTACTGTAATTCATGCAATCCCCATTTCTTTGGTATATTACGGTAAATATACGATAATTTAATTTAGTAAAAATTTATACAGTATTATATCATACAGTACATATATGGAAATTTTGCTGAATTTACATTAATGTTTATGTTACAAAATTATTAAATTATATTTACCATATGTTTTCTTTGGTATACATACAGTAAATATATGGTAATACTCTAATTTAATTTAGTAAAAATTTATACAGCACAGTATTATATTTTATATGGAAATTTTGCAGAATTTACATTAATATTTACGTCACAAAATTATTAAATTATATTTTTCTTAATATTTAGCATTAAAACGCATAAAAAATTATATATTGCCATGAAAAAAGCCCCCCAAAATTATGCAAGTTTGCAGGGATTTCCATGAATGATTGTAAGTTAGGTTCTGAGGAAAAATCTGCGAATTGCTGAAGCAGCGAATTTGTGGGAGTCCACTGTACTAGTACTCTAGAAATTTTCATCATGCTGTTGATAAGGTGTTTGGAGTGATAATGCAGATGATACCTACAGGAATCAAAATATTGTTAACAATTTTGATTATTCCAGTGTAATACAAGTTTTGTAAAGGATGCTTGATTTTATGATAGTTAAGACAAAATTAACATATTATTGAAATTTGTGCCTTCAGTGGCTCTCAAATCCACATATGTATTTCTATGTAGATTACTATATTTATGCATTTTGCTGTATTTATGCATAGTGATATTATAAAGATTCAAAATGACATTATTATTATTGCTATTACTTAATTATTATGCATTTTTCTTTGCAGATAAATATATACTGAATCTTTACTGTTTCTGTCTCAATAATAACATAATTTCTTGTATAATTTCTGTTCTAGTTTATGCAATCACTTTGTATTAGTTTTTGATAAATGCTTGGTTTCTGTACTACTATAAATTATTCACATGCTAATGGTTATGGAATTTCTTAGAAAAGTTTTGTAGTTTTGATGAAGGTTCAAGTCACTGATAATGATTTTAATTGCAGTTAAACAGTTAAGATTTTTACTATACTGTACAGTAGTTTATCTAGTAAATAGAATCCCATGTAACACACACACACGGAAAAATAACGACCAGCCAAAAGCTGATATAGTAGACCAACACAAATAAAGCCAATGGATGCTGCACGGTATGAGTGGCATTAGTTTCCTAGGCTGAGAATGACACATCAGTTGACCCACACTGACCAAGACTTTAAAACCTGCAGCATACGAACAGAGGGAGAATATTTTGCTATTTTATATTTTAAACCTTACACAGAGCTAGCTACTGAGTACACCATCATTACTGTACACCTGTTTACCTGTTTTAAAGAAATTACTACATATGCATTTGCAAGCTGTTAAAAGAGGGTTAAACCTTATTTCTTGGGGTACAGTAGCAGTGTTCAGTACACCTTTCATCATCTTTTGCAGCTGCAAATAGGTAATTGTGTAGCTACAAATAGGTAATTTCGTGCTGCACTGTTAGTCAGTCATGGAGCAGTCAGAAAGTACTCGTGTGATGCAGGTCACATTGATGATGATATTGAAGAAGTCATATGATAAGTCCTCTTCCAGAGAGGTGTCTTGATTCTGGTGACCAACTTTTGATCCAAGGGGGTGGGACTGCTTTCCCTTTCCTTGGATCAAAATTGATTACCTACCATTTCCCCAAGTGAGTTATGATAACTATGGGTTAAGTGCTTCACCACTAAGGTTGTAATGTGATGAAATTCCCACAGCATCTTGTGATGATGAACATCCTTCTGCTTCACATTGTGACCAGATTATTTCACTTTCTTGTAACGAGTCTTTTGCTGTATCATCATCATCTCCGGTTTCCTCACCTTCAACCCCTCATGACACTTCAATTACAGTGTATCTACTATAATATAATTTTTTTGCCTCAATGGGCGTTTCCCACCGAGGCAGGTGAGCCAAATGAGCCAAAGAAGAAAACTCATTCAACGTTATTCATTTAATCGCTGTCTTTCCAGAAGAATGCTGACATCACAATTCAGGTTTCCCTCCGACTGCAACATGCCCTTTCCTCCTTTGTTTAAAAAATATAATCTCAATCTACCATCAAGGTTAAGGTCCTAATTACACCATTGTTTAGAAGAATTACTGTACCGTATGCTATCATTTTTTGAAGTGATTCACAATTTAATATTGTGTAAATTCATTCTCATTTCCATAGGGATATTATTTTGGATTGATACTATATTACTGTAGTGCATGATCATCATTAGTGACAAGTCATTAGCCTCGGCAGTAGAGCTTTTGTAGTAGTTGTTGAGTATGCCTGATATAATTGTTTTTAAAAAATATGTAATTTCTCTTCATATTAGTCATCATGTTTAAAGTAATACATGATCCTTCTCAGCTCATACCTTTTCGCTATTAATTTTTTTTACTGGATCTTCTGTTAAAAAGTGGAAAATGAAGACAAAATACATAACGTTATATTCTGCATTCTCTATCATTTGCACAGTAGTGTTTATAAATTATTTAAAGGTCACTTTCAATGCCCATAAGACTTTGGTTTGCAGTTAATAACTACTCTATAAGAAACACTTCATGTATAGAGAGTTTGCACTTGATGCTACAGGGTGAGTGTCTGGCATATTGGCAGTCAAGTATGTATCAGAAATGCATTTACCTCATGTAAAATGCATCAAAACTATTGTTTATTTAACCCTTTCAGTATCAAGATCCCTACTTTCAAACTTGCTCTCAGGGTTGAAGAAAAAAAAAACTACTTTATGAAATATAAGAGAATTGTTTTCCAAAGGTAACGAAACCAAAAATATGAAATTTTTTTGTTAAACTTACGGAATTATGCTCCTGCAAAGTTAGCAGTCTTGGCGATATTTACACATTGGTGATTTTGCCAACTTTGCATTCTGTTTTTGGCTAATTCCATTGTTCCAGTCCATCAAACTCGTAGCTATTTCACTAGTATTCCTTTTATCAGAAGAGTACAAAAACCACCCATTTACATATTTCAACTATCCAATAAAGTGATGAGAAATTGTTAATTTGGCCAGTTTCATGCAAAATTCAACAATTGCCAATTTGAAAAAAGGGTTCAAAATAAACAATGTAGACATTAAGTAAGTAAGTAAATTCAGGTATACACAAATACAGTTACATAGAATTATCATACATAGCAGCATATGTGTAGAGAACCTAGGATAACCCAATAAAGTCAGACATTCCTGGCACTAAATAAACATTTCGTCTGTTCCTTAGTCACGTCTCCAGTCCCCTCTTATATTGCACTTGCTTTTCATTTTGAATTTTTATACACACCACAAAGACCCATTCTCTCATATCTAGGCCCATATTTACTGCTCACAGCTTATCTGAGTGAGCTGAGCTCATGGTGTCATAATATGGGACTGGCAATGGCTTTAAAGCCGTGATACAATGGGACCGACATTGAAGGGGCTAAAACCTAATACTGTATATTACTATTACTACTAAAACTACTACTAGTAAAAGTAATGATAATAATGATATGTACAACCCACCCAGGGGGAGTACTACCGTCCTGCCAAGTGAGTGTGAAACGAAAGCCTGTAATTGTTTTACATGATGGTAGGATTGCTGGTGTCTTTTGTCTGTCTCATAAACATGCAAGATTACAGGTACGTCTTGCTACTTCTACTTACACTTAGGTCACACTACACATACATGTACAAGCATATATATACACACCCCTCTGGGTTTTCTTCTATTTTCTTGCTAGTTCTTGTTCTTGTTTATTTCCTCTTACCTCCATGGGGAAGTGGAACAGAATTCTTCCTCCGTAAGCCATGTGTATTGTAAGAGGCGACTAAAATGCCAGGAGCAAGGGGCTAGTAACCCCTTCTCCTGTATATATTACTAAATGTAAAAGGAGAAACTTTCGTTTTTCCTTTTGGGCCACCCCGCCTCGGTGGGATACGGCCGGTGTGTTGAAGGAAAGATGTACAAATTTAATGTTTGTATTATGAAACACTGATACATTAATACTTATTTGTAATATGTATTCACTTTATATAATATATAACAATTACTTGCTTTATGCCACCTGAGCAGCTGTTTACCAGTACCTAAACAAACCTAATTACTTACTAGTACAAAAAAAAGGTTTACAGAGGTGAAAATGGGTCTTTGTCAGTTTTCTGCTTGGAATACTGCAGTTACATTAAGACAATAGTCATTTCATTTACTGCATTTAATAATCAACTCAAGGCAATATGTAAATGCTGTCCTAAAAAGCTCATTACTTGTTACTCAGTTTGAATTTCATCAAATAGGCTCATTTGTTGAGCTGGTACAAAGTGTTAATACAATCTCATACATACATTTGCCAGCGCTATCGGCTGTGTGTTGTTAAAATCATAAAAAGACTAAGAAGGTAAAAGACAATGTTGAAATAATGAGTAACAAGAAAACTGATAGACCTAGCTTAGGCTACATTCCATACAACATTTTTATTTGTGAAACCTATGAATGATAACTACAAGTAAGGAACATCAGTTTGTGAGTAATGAAACTTAAGATACTAAAGCAGCTTGATAAAAGAAGAAATATTCATGACAGAAATTTATAAAGTTAAAGGAATGCTGTACAGGTATACGACTTCCACATGCCATGCTAACATAATTCTCACATCCGTATATTTCAAGATCTGACCAGTTGGTTGGAACAGATCTCAGATGTAAGGGAGGATCTGTACGGTATATTGAAGACTTCTATGAATCTTAGCTTTATAGCTTTATCATGCCCCATAGCTCTTGAAAAAACTATATATTTGACTGGCAAAGTGGCAGAAACAGTTGTTTGTGTTACATGACTGCAAACTCTCTATATAATAGTGTTTGAATTTAAAGAACTTTTCATAACCATCACAAGAATAACAGTATTCTTATATAATAAGGTCAGGTACTTTGTATGGACAATAAGATGCTGTACATTTTGTAATGTTCGTTAACTAGCCTTTCCCTGATTAGTAGAAAAATAATTTGGTCATTTTAGGACATATATAATGGATCATTCTTGGTCATACAAGCAGACCTGCTTTACAGCACTTTGCTTTACAGTGTTTCTCTAATGCAGCAGTTTTCAATTATACCCATTCTTCATTTATTCAGACTTTCTACAATAAATATATTCACCACTCACTATACGTTAAGGATGAAAATATTTTGAGGTAGGTAATGTGCATATTGTATATGCATTTTTCAGATCTAGTTATATTACATACTTAATGTTTGAGAGTATAAACATGTTATCAAGCTTATATATGCATTTGAAAGTGGAAAAAAAAAGGCTATGATCCACTTTACAGTGGTTTTCACTTTACAGCAGTAGCTCAGAACCTAACCTGCTGTATAAGTGGGGCCTGCTTGTATAAGTATGTGGTATACTAGTTAAAAATCTGAGTCAATTATATATAGTAATTTTACCCAAAATTTATTGAAATCTGTATCATGAATGGTTATTACTTAATTCCTTTCAGTGTTTTTTTTTTTTTTAGTCCCTTTTAGTATTTAGTTGTGGAGGATTGAAAACCCTTTAAATGGTTAGAATGTCCTAAATATTTGTTTTATGAATTTGTGCATGCAGCTTTTGTCACATCTCATTCTAATTATTTTGTTCTCTTCTCTCTCCTTATCCCATCTTCCTTCTGTTTTCCCTCACCTGATTCTTTGGTTTCTCTCTGTACTTTCGGGGCTGATGTTTTGTACCTCTTGCATTTTCAAATGACTACTAATTCTGCTGTTGTATATCTTTGTATTAAATGGGGCTATTTATAACCTTTGTTGTCTGTTATGGGTCTACTTCTGCACTGCTAATGCTTTTGGACTGTCTTAAAACATTTGCAAAATACTGTACTGTAATTGGGTGTCCCTTTAAACTAACATTTTACATTGCTCTTTGTCATGCTGTGCATGGAATTTGTTGTACATGAAAATGTGTGCCATGTATTCAATCATACAAATGTTGTATTATGATGTAATTATACCTATTATCCATGAAATGCAATCCTTGTCTTGATAATTTCTTCTGATGGCCCTAACTTCTGCTGGGCCATCCAAATGTTTAATTATTCAATGCTATGAACAAAACTGGCTTCATAATATTACCCTTGTCCCATTCACCTTATCTGATCTCCATCTTCAATATACTTCACCCTGGTGCTTTTAATATACAACTCTAATGCCTGTCTGTCTCTTCCATGTTAAAAACCCAAACAATTAACATAATCTTTTGTTTTTTATATTATCTTTTTAACCAACCAACTGTACTTACATTGTCATAACACAATACTTGGGTCTCATATTTGACTACTCATATTCTTTTCCTTTTGTATATATTTATGCACATCTTTTTAACAATACGTAACTGTTATTCATGTTAATAATTTTTATTTTTCTACCCAATAATCACGCACTATTCCATTTGTTATATCACATTTACATTATTTTATCTTCGGTCTGTTATGTGGCTATTTTCTGTTAAATGCTGCTCTTCTTTCTGCTGTCTTGAAATGACTCCTTTTATGCTTTAATATTAATCTCACATTAAAAAAAATCTGCTGCACTTTTATGTTTACTTATTTTCACATCTGTTCTTTTGTTTTTGAATTTTTATATTTGCTTTGGTGGGTATATTTTCTTATTTTTCTGCTCTGTACATCATTATTCCTCACTTTATATGTTTAATTCTGATCTATTGCATTATTCACACTTCAAAATTATGTTATTCTTGCAATGGCAAAATTCCTACTCCTTACATGTACATACAATACTATTTTTTTTTTTTTTTTCATTTTTTTGCTCACTACATCCTCTTTGTCTATTCTTTCACTATGTTCCAATTTGCTTCTCTTGTTCCTCCTCTCTCCCCTTCCCCCCTCCCCCTCCCTCTCTCGCAGAATGATGGCGACGATTTCTTTCAGTATGAAGAGGAGGAGACTGGGGAGACTCAGTCAGAAGCTACAATTTCTTCTGGAACAGGTGGACGGAAAAGACTCTTTTCTAAGGAACTTCGGTGTATGATGTATGGATTTGGAGACGACCAAAATCCCTACACGGAGAGTGTTGATCTTCTCGAGGATCTTGTCATTGAATTTATAACTCAGATGGTATGAATTTTGCTGTTTTAAATGAGATCATGCTTGATATAACTGGACTGTAAAAGTTTCTTTTAATTGATATAGCTGAATAAAAACTGTATGAAATGTTGGGTTAGGATTATTTTTGGATTATTCTTGATATTCAAGAGTACTGTTGTTTAAACAAATACATGTATCTTCATCAGTGATAAAGAATTTTTAATCTGGTTTTTAGTGGTAGTTTAAGAACAAGTAAGACCTTAGGGTAACACTGTGTGCAGGTTTTTCCCTCTTTCCCTTCCCCCCACTGTATGAGGGTTCATTTTATGTGAATTGAGTATGTCATGCCCTGTTTTATAAGTAATGCTGTAAGTATGGTATAAATTCACCTTTGTGATCAGTGCAGCACACAGTCTATTGAAGATTCTTATGTGGAATTAAGCATTGATGGCCTGATTGAATTAGGTACAGCTGAAATGGTCCTGGAACACAGTTACTGCATAAAACATGGTGCTCATATATGTACAATATATTTAATTTTTTATTTTTATATAGCCGGACTTGAGTCCTGGAAATGGGAAGTACAATGCCTGCACTCTAAAGGAGGGGTTTTGGGACATTAGCAGTTTGGAGGGATATGTTGTGTATCTTTATACGTATATGCTTCTAAACTGTTGTGTTCTAAGCACCTCTGCAAAAACAGTGATTATGTGTGAGTGAGGTGAGTGTTCAGTGATGATGAAAGTATTTTCTTTTTGGGGATTTTCTTTCTTTTTGGGTCACCCTGCCTCGGTGGGAGACGGCCGACTTGTTGAAAAAAACAAAAAAAATTATATGAAATGGATCTTTGGGGCACCCGACATCTGGGGGCTCTGGGGCAGCTATTTCCTGGAGTATACCTGGAGAGGTTTTTGGGGATCAATGCCCTTCTTTTATTCTAATCTGCCACTGCTTGTTTTACCCATAGACTCAGCGTGCAATGGAAGTGGGCAGATCAGGACGAGTTCAAGTTGAAGATGTAATGTATCTGGTGAGGAAGGACAAGAGAAAATATGCAAGGGTTCATGACCTTCTCAATATGAATGAAGAGCTGAAGAAAGCTAGAAAGGCCTTTGATGAAGTTAAATATGCTGGAGTTTGAAAAGTATTAAACATTACTATAGTATTTAGATTTTTAATGTAAGAAAATTGGGGAGTAAAATGGCAAATAAACTTCTTTTAATTATTCAAAGTGTTAGTATACCATCTTACCACATTAATAACTTAGAAGCACAATATATTTTCACCAAAGTTTTTTATGTTTGCTAGCATTCCTAAGAAATATTAATCTAGAAATATTAAGGCACTTAATTCGTATTAACTGATCTTCAACTTGATATAATTTTTATTTTTTTTATTAACACATCGGTCGATTCCCACAAAGGCAGGTGGCCCGAAAAGGAAAAACTTTCATCATCATTCACTCCATCACTGTCTTGCCAGAGGGGTGCTTTACACTACAGTTTGATAGAATTGTATACTGTAAAATTGTCAGATTCAGTGTTGTCAGATTCAAAATTCAGTTCACATTAAAGGGCCCAAAATCTGGAGTGCTCTGCTGGAAATCTCCAGACCCACTGTCTCAGCCAGCATCTTCAATACTACTGTTAAAAAACACCTTCTCTCCCTAACATATCCCAACACCAGCTAAATATAACTACATATCCATAGTCTCAGTAATATGTAAACAATATATTTTGCTCTCAATATCTACATATCCATAGCAGTGCTGTATAGCCCTTGTGGTTTAGCGCTTCTTTTTGATTATAATAATAATAATACATATCCATATTCTCCATGCTACTAAAATATGTATTCATTGTAACCTTATTCTTAATATCTGTAATCCTCTCAGCCTTTAAAACATTGATTTTATGTCCTTAATGTCAATATGTACTAATAGGATATTTAGTTTTCTTTTGTATCTATTGTAACTCCTAAATTTATATTTACAGTCACCTAAGAGATTGTATATGTAGAACCATTTGTCATTGCCTGATTAATATTAAGGGGCTTTCTGCAGGCACACCTAAATGTGGTCCACCTTTGTACAAACGTTTTATCATGCTGATATAAAGTATTTTTATCTCTATCTTTATCTTTATTTAGCAGTTTGTAGATATAGCAATTTTTTTGCGATTAAAATGTAACCATGGAAGTATATAGTATGTTATACTATAATACTAATTTAGCAGTTCTCTTCATTTTGTTTCCTGTTCATTATTCTACAAATTCTCTCCCTTCTATGGCCCATCTAGGTCTTAATGCTAGTGAAGGGCTTTTGATCTAGGGAAGTGGAGGTACCCTGCCCTTCCTCAGATCTAGGTGAGGGCTCTTGATCTAGGGAATTGAATCTGTGCTCCGGTTTCCTGAATCGAATCTGAATACCTTCCATCCCCCCACATGCGCTGTATAATCCTATAGGTTTAGCGCTCCCCCATGATTATAATAATAATAATCCTCAGATCTAACCTGGGCAGGGTGAGATTCATGGGAAAGTTTCCTAATATCTGCTGCCTCTATTAGTGGATTCCTCCCTAAGGCAGCTTTGACAGAGGCTCACATAAAAGACTAGGTATCTGGGTACAATCTACTTAGGTGTAATTAAAAGAAAAGGCCAAAAGGAGGGGGGTGGCTTGTATATATAAAGAGCTGTTTATTTTCACTAAGTTAAAAGACTAGCCATTAAAAACTGAATACTGTCTTGAAAATCTTTCACTTCCATCCCTAAACATTCTGCGTCTTGGTGATTTCAATATAGATTAATTTTCTTCTGATTTCCCATATCCATTTAGATATTAAAATTTATGAGTCTAGAATCAATTGAGGACACAGTAAATCTTGAGGCTGATATTAACCAGGTCTCTCATTGAACTATAGATTTTGGTTATTCCACTATAGATAATAATCTTAAACCACTCATTAAGGCAGAGGCATGAGAGGGACCTAGGAGTGATAATGTCAGAGGATCTTACATTCAAGGAACAGTCCTGTATGACCTTTGTGGGTTTAGTGCTTGCTTTTGATTATAAAATACATTCAAGGATCATAGTGTTTGTTACAAATGCAAGGGAATTGATAAAGTGTATAACTAGAACCTTCAAAACAAGAGATACCAAGCCAATGATGATATTAGTTTTAAGTCACTTGTTCTCTCTGAGGGTGAAATGCAGAACTGGAGAATCTTCACTGCCTGTACTCCTCAAGGAAGGTTCCCTGATGGTAACAAAGGTCACTGATTCAAGGAATTAAACTTTTCCTTGCCTTTGTTGGATCTAACTGAATTACCTCCCATTCCTCAGGTAATGTATAACCTCTATGGCAGGGATTCCTGACCTTTTCTATGCCATGCACCCTAGTAAATGTTCGATTAATGTTGCACTTCTTAATAAAGCATTATCACATTTAAAGATGGAGTCAAATTTCTAATTTTTTAATCACAAACTGAACCAAATACAGTACTGTGTATGAATAAATTGAACTCAAAAAATAAGCTTTTAATTCAGTGCATAAAATGCAAATATCAAGTGAGCAATTAGAAAAGTTTTTTGTAAGATAAACGGAATTGTGCTTTTCATTAGGACTGTTTGTCACACCCGGTGAAATGCCATCTCACACCCCCTGAGGGGTGTGTCCACCCCAGGTTGAGAACCCCTGCTATATAGGCTCAGTGCTTCTCCATGAATATAATAATTCACTGCCTTTATAAATTTAAACTTTTAAATTATCGAGAATGCCTAAAGTTTCTTGAATGCAGGCAAGGTATTTCATAATTTACACTCAGAAAATAATGTAGGAACTGGCCTCAAATGTGCATAATAAAATTTCTCCCTGTGACAGCAAGAAGCTCAGTATGGTTCAAAATACCCCCAGTGAAAAGCACACTAGGAAATGAAGATAATACGTAAATGTAAAGGGTCAAAATAAACAACCCATCCTCTTAACCACAGCCATCAATGGCACTTGTTGAAACAGTCAAATGGGTGACTGTTCACAGTCTTGTGTTTCACATATGTGCACAATGGCTGCCCATTTTGTTTGCACAGCACAGACTTTTTTATCGCCTTTTACATTTATTATTTTTCATTATAACCTAACGTACCTACACGTCCCTCACCCTACACCAGTATATAAGCACCAGCCTTCTTGCCTGTGGTCCAGAATCTTCATGACTATGGTGCTCTTCACACCAGCTCCAAGACAAGAGACACTGATTACTTCATCTTTTGTATACAACCCTCCTCACTTAGTGACGTACTCGTTTACCGATGCCTCGGATTTATGACAGGCTCTCTGACGCATATTCATACTTAAATAATGTACGTATATTACAGCTGATTTCCTCTACTCTGTTTAATACAATATACAGTACACTACTGTAAAATCATTTAAAAACGCTATACCAGAAATGTTATAAATGGTGCAAAGGTGACATTAAAACAGTATCATAGATGGTTGACACAAACCCACTACCATTATAGTATGCTCCTCACTTAGCGACATATTCATTTACCAATGTGATCTTAGGAACGGAGCTCCGTCATTAAGTGAGGAGAGGATGTATAGTTCTTGTCTTCCAATTATGTCCTTGAATTTGTATTGATAAATCCACTGGATAGTGAAACATTGACAATAAAGATACTCAGATGTTGCACATGTGTCTAATTTTTCAAAATATTGTTGAAAATGGTATAAAATACCTACAAGTTGAAGATGAAGATACATGTGCGACAGTTGGGTATTACAACCCAGGAGTCCCAAAGGCCTGTTATCCAGGGTGTAAAGGGAGCAAAATAAACACAGCAGAAAAACTTTTGACTTATATTATCCTTCACCAATTTAGAACAGAAGTATGTACACTATATACACTATGTACAACAATAGGTATTAGTGCACTCCACGGTAAGCAAAGCAGAATAGAAGCCACTAGAGAGCAGACCGTGCTTCAACAAGCTCTAGAATGGGAATGGCAAGGGCAGACGGGTGAGTGGCACCCACATCACCTCTGCGATTGCCAAAACCATCTTCTCATTGGCTGGAACCTGGGTACTGATTGAACGACGGGGCCCCATCGTCAACCCTTAGCCCCTGGTTCGCTGGTTGGGGGAGATAGCCCATCAACGAGGGTGTGTACATGCGCCGAATAAAGGTTACGTACTCTTTGCATGCCACATTGGGTATCTTTATTGATGAAACAATTCACCTACACAGTAGGCTTCTTCAGTCAAATACAAAGGGAGGAGTAGTAATGACATAATGATGTAATCAGTCCATCAATATACTGAGTTATTAACCTAGCCAACTGGAGATCCTCAAAGGAGGTTATTTGATGCGAGTGAGGGGCATTTGATCTATGGAATTGGACATTTGCTCCCTTTGGATGGAATAAATTTTTTTTAATAATAATAATATCTTTATTTACTACAAGTTTATGTACAAGGTATACAGGCCTAGCTGACATCAGTGACATACTACCCTACAAAAAGTTGCTTGTAATAAAGTTGGTAGAATTACCGACAATACGTAAAGTAAAAGGACACAAGTGTAACTAATGTGACATTTTATTGTGGCAACGTTTCGCTCTCCGGCTTGATAGAGCTCCTGGAGAGCGAAACGTTGCCACAATAAAATGTCACATTAGTTGCACTTGTGTCCCTTTTACTTTACAGAAAGCTGCTTGTTATGCAGAGTATTTCGGGCAAATTAGCTCAATTTTGTCCCAGGATGCGACCCACACCAGTCGACCATAACATCCAGGTATCCATTTTACCGATATGTGAACATAGACAACTGATGTAAGGAAACACGTCCAATGATTCCACCCCTTCGCAGGGAACCGAACCCAGACCCTCACCATGTGAAGCAAGAGCTTTTGCCACCAGGCCAGTTGCATATAAATACAATTAGCATACATAGTAACATGTATGTAACTTACCTAGAATAACCAAAAAAACGTCAAAGTGACTTATTTCCATTGGTGTTCTTGATTTCACCAGGCGCTGCTTGGCCCCTACGGGTGTAAAAATTATAATAACCCCCGAGAAGTTATTAAAATATAGTCATTGTATCTACGTCTTCAGTTATTTATGCTGTATAATCCTCCGGGTTTAGCGCTTCCCCTTGATTATAATAATAATAACAATTCAATTATTTACTTGGGAATAATTAAAAAAAAAAAAAACGCGGGAAAGGTCTACTATCATTTGTTTTATTTTCCCGCCAATATATGTAAACATAAACATGGCGACGGGTGAGAGTGTTATGGAGGTGGATGCTGCCAAAAGTTCCAGTCAAGCTGCAGCTGCCAGCTATAAAGCTTTACATGCACCATGGTAAATAACGAAGAGTAGTCTGTTATACATGATCCTGGGCTGCCAAATCTAGACAATAAGTCTAAATGGTTTTAACTACAGGGAGGCTCGTTGCTGCAAGTGAAGGACTTGAGCCAAGTAGACTCACGAAATCGTAATGACACGATTGCAAACAAACCATACCATGGGTGGGGATAGAACCCGCGGTCAGAGAGTCTCAAAACTCCAGACCGTCGCGTTAGCCATTGTGGCTAGCTGGTCCAGTGGCTAACGCGACGGTCTGGAGTTTTGAGACACTGACCGCGGGTTCAAATCCCACCCGTGGTATGGTTTGAGCCAAGTACTTGGCTCTCACTTCACACGTCGAGGGCCTGGGTTCGATTCCCAGCCAGAGTAGAAACATTGGACGTGTTTCTTTCCACCTGTTGTCTATGTTCCCCATCAGTAAAATGGGTACCTGGGTGTTAGTCGACTGGTGTGGGTCGCATCCTGGGACACTGACCTAAGGAGGCCTGGTCACAGACCGGGCCGCGGGGGCGTTGACCCCCGGAACTCTCTCCAGATAAACTCCAGATATGATTATAAGATTAGCCCCTTGGTTATCCCTTCTATTCCCCTCAAGGGAGGTTCTTTGATGCTGGTGAGGGGCTCTTGATCTAGGGAATTTGATCTGTGCACCAGTTCCTTGAATTAAGCCTGAATACCTTCCACATTTCCCCCACAGGCGCTGTATAATCTTACGGGTTTAGCGCTTCCCCCTTGATTATAATAATGTCCCTTCTACTAAGATTCTTTGGTGGAGGGCTCTTGATCCAGGGAATTTAAGCTGGTTTTCAGTACCTCATTCCCACAGGCATTGTGACACCCTTTTTTATTTTCTGCTTCCCCACCATGAATAATAGCTCAATATGCTGGCCACATCTTTTTTTTTTTTTTTATTATTATTATCACACTGGCCGATTCCCACCAGGGCAGGGTGGCCCGAAAAAGAAAAACTTTCACCATCATTCACTCCATCACTGTCTTGCCAGCTCTATTGTCATTAAACCATAATGATGTAGTATTCTTTAAATAGACATATTCTTCGTATGGATTGCCCCTCAAAGAAGGTTCCTTGATGCTGGTGAGGGGTTCTTGATCTAGGAAACTGGATCTTTGCTCCAGTTTCCTGAATTAAGCCTAAATACCTTCCATCCCCCACCCCCACAGGCACTGTATAATCCTATGGGTTTAGCGCTTCCCCTTGATTATAATAATAATTTGTATGGACGTATAAAGTCTTTTAGTGATTAAACGAATAACGCAGTTCTGCTGACTTTGAATTTGGCAAGGTTATGTTGAAGATCATTGCTAAGTTTTGGCCATGTAATTTCAAAATATTTTAAGCCTGATGTTGCTTAACCATCTCAAGGGAAGCACTTTGATGTTGGTCGCATTCTGACATTCACTTATACTTTCAGGATTGAAAAATATCGGCCTACAACGTTTCCTGAGATTGTTGGAAATGAAGAGACGGTTGCAAGACTGGAGGTGTTTGCTAAGCAGGGCAATGTTCCCAACATTATTATTGCAGTAAGTAGATATTACTATTCTTTCAACACACTGGCCATCTCCCACCGAGGCAGGGTGACCCAAGAAAGAAAAGAAACACTTTCACCATCATTCATACATAATCACTGTCTTGTAGAGGTGCCCAGATATGACAGTTTAGATGTCTCTCCAAACAGCAAGTATCCCAAACCCCTCCTTTAAAGTGCAGGCATTGTACTTCCCACCTACAGGAATTGAGTCTGGCTAATCAGTTTCCCTGAATCCCTTCACAAAATATTACCCTGCTCACACTCCAACAGCTTGTCAGGTCCCAAAAACCATTACAAAATATTACCCTGCTCACACTCCAACAGCTTGTCAGGTCCCAAAAACCATTCATCTCCATTCACTCCTATCTAATATGCTCACACGTGCCTGCTGCATGATGATGATTATTATTAGTATTATTATAGGAAGTGCTGAATCCAAAAAGACTTTACAGCACTTGGAAATGGGAGGTAATCATTTTTGATCTCAGGATGGGAAGGACAGCTCCAATTCTTTGGATCAAAAGCCTTTACCTGCCTCTGGGTACCCTCTCTTGAAATGTACAGCAATTTAATTGATAATTAACAATGCATTTATGAAGTATTATCAATTTAATTTACCAATTCAGTACAGTTTTGTAAAACAAGGATTTATGGATTGGTTTCTTCTTTCAGGGGCCTCCGGGCGTTGGCAAGACGACGACGATTTTATGCTTAGCTCGGGCTCTTCTGGGTAATAGTTTTCGAGAAGCTGTGATGGAATTAAATGCATCGAATGACCGTGGGATTGATGTTGTGCGAAATAAGATCAAGATGTTTGCTCAGCAAAAAGTAACTCTTCCCAAAGGAAAGCATAAAATTATTATCCTAGATGAAGCTGACAGGTAAATTATCCTAGGTGAAGCTGACAGGTAAATTATCCTAGATGAAGCTGACAGGTAAATTATCCTAGGTGAAGCTGACAGGTAAATTATCCTAGGTGAAGCTGACAGGTAAATTATCCTAGGTGAAGCTGACAGGTAAATTATCCTAGGTGAAGCTGACAGGTAAATTATCCTAGGTGAAGCTGACAGGTAAATTATCCTAGATGAAGCTGACAGGTAAATTATCCTAGATGAAGCTGACAGGTAAATTATCCTAGGTGAAGCTGACAGGTAAATTATCCTAGATGAAGCTGACAGGTAAATTATCCTAGGTGAAGCTGACAGGTAAATTATCCTAGATGAAGCTGACAGGTAAATTATCCTAGGTGAAGCTGACAGGTAAATTATCCTAGGTGAAGCTGACAGGTAAATTATCCTAGGTGAAGCTGACAGGTAAATTATCCTAGGTGAAGCTGACAGGTAAATTATCCTAGATGAAGCTGAAGGTAAATTATCCTAGGTGAAGCTGACAGGTAAATTATCCTAGGTGAAGCTGACAGGTAAATTATCCTAGATGAAGCTGACAGGTAAATTATCCTAGGTGAAGCTGACAGGTAAATTATCCTAGATGAAGCTGACAGGTAAATTATCCTAGATGAAGCTGACAGGTAAATTATCCTAGGTGAAGCTGACAGGTAAATTATCCTAGGTGAAGCTGACAGGTAAATTATCCTAGGTGAAGCTGACAGGTAAATTATCCTAGGTGAAGCTGACAGGTAAATTATCCTAGGTGAAGCTGACAGGTAAATTATCCTAGATGAAGCTGACAGGTAAATTATCCTAGATGAAGCTGACAGGTAAATTATCCTAGATGAAGCTGACAGGTAAATTATCCTAGATGAAGCTGACAGGTAAATTATCCTAGGTGAAGCTGACAGGTAAATTATCCTAGGTGAAGCTGACAGGTAAATTATCCTAGGTGAAGCTGACAGGTAAATTATCCTAGATGAAGCTGACAGGTAAATTATCCTAGGTGAAGCTGACAGGTAAATTATCCTAGGTGAAGCTGACAGGTAAATTATCCTAGGTGAAGCTGACAGGTAAATTATCCTAGGTGAAGCTGACAGGTAAATTATCCTAGGTGAAGCTGACAGGAAAATTATCCTAGGTGAAGCTGACAGGAAAATTATCCTAGGTGAAGCTGACAGGTAAATTATCCTAGGTGAAGCTGACAGGTAAATTATCCTAGGTGAAGCTGACAGGTAAATTAACCTAGGTGAAGCTGACAGGTAAATTATCCTATGTGAAGCTGACAGGTAAATTATCCTAGGTGAAGCTGACAGGTAAATTATCCTAGATGAAGCTGACAGGTAAATTATCCTAGGTGAAGCTGACAGGTAAATTATCCTAGGTGAAGCTGACAGATAAAAATTATCCTAGATGAGGCTGATGGGTAAATTATCCTAGATGAGGCTAATGGGTAAATTATCCTTGATGAGGCTGACAGGTAAATTATCCTAGACGAGGCTGATGGGTAAATATTATCCTAAACGAGGTAATTTTCACAAGTTTGCATGTGGGTTCCTAATTGGGGTTACAGTAAACTGTACTCATGGTGTCCTTTTTTTTTTTTAGTATTAATGAATTTTAAATGTCATTAATAGACACACAAATCAAAAATTTTAACGGGCATCCTAAAATCTTGGTGCATCAGACATAGTTTGTGTCAGTAGATGAGCAAAACGTCATCCAAACAAAGGGTAACAATATCTTGATCAATTTTTAATTTGTTATAATTCACTTTTCATGCAATAATTTTCCTTATTCCTGCCATTTAATTATCCATCTTTGATCCATTTTTTTTATTAATACATCGGCTGTTTCCCACCAAGGCAGGGTGGCCCAAAAAAGAAAAACTTTCATCATCATCATTCACTCCATTACTGTCATGCTAGAGGCATGCTTACACTACAGTTATAAAACTGCAACATTACTAACAAAAAAAGGCACAATACCGTGATTGGAATAATACACAAATAACCCACACTAGAAAGAGGCTGCAACGAGTTTCGGTCCCAAATTTGGGCCCTTTCAAAGCCACACTTTGTAATTGGTCCAAGTCAGCGGAAACTTTTTCGTGTCCCTCTCTTTTATGTTTGGGTTATTTGTGTACTGCAAATTTTAACACCCCTCCCTTTAGAATGCCGCACTGTACTTCCCATCTCCAGGAATCAAGTCTGAACTGTCAGTTTCCCGAGTCACTTCATAAATGTTTCCCCCTTTCTTACACCCAAGAGCACATCAAGTCCTAAAAACCATGTTCTCCATTTGCTCCTGCCGTAAGTCCAAGCCCCTCGCACACAAAACCTCCTTTAACCCCTCCCTCCATCTCCTAATTAATTAAATTTCCTAATTTAATAACCTTTACATTGTATGTGTTTGTTCAGCTGACTCCTGGTAAGGGACAAAATAACGTTGAACATGTTGAGAAAATGATACAGTGGAACCTCAGTTTTCATATGCTCTAGTTTGTATGTAAAACTATAGTTATCCTCTATAAAATGTATTTTTTGTTAATATTTCCCATAAGAAATAATGGAAAGCTAATTAATCCCTTCCAGACACCCAAAAATATTAACAAAAAATACATTTTATAGAGAATTATAGTTTTATGTACAAGCTAGGGCATACGAAAGCTGAGGTTCCACTGTATATGGTAATTTATTTTGTGCATTGTTTTGCCTTATTGTGCCAAAATTTTGCATAATTTGGTCTGTATCCAATTTTTATTTTATTACTTTTATTACTAAGTATTCCCAAAGGATACCTTTTGAGTGGCACAAATCTATGATTATGATTTATTATTTTTTTTCTTTTTTTTTAACGAGTCGGCCGTCTACCACCGAGGCAGGGTGACCCAAAAAGAAAGAAAATCCCCAAAAAGAAAATACTTTCATCATCATTCAACACTTTCACCACACTCACACATAATCACTGTTTTTCCAGAGGTGCTCAGAACACAACAGTTTAGAAGCATATACGTACATATAAAGATATACAACATATCCCTCCAAACTGCCAATATCCCAAACCCCTCCTTTAGAGTGCAGGCATTGTACTTCCCATTTCCAGGACTCAAGTCCAGCTATATAAAAATAACCAGTTTCCCTGAATCCCTTCACTAAATATTATCCTGCTCACACTCCAGCAGATCGTCAGGTCCCAAATACCATTCGTCTCCATTCACTCCTATCAAACACGCTCATGCACGCCTGCTGGAAGTCCAAGCCCCTCGCCCACAAAACCTCCCTTACCCCTTCCTTCCAACCTTTTCGAGGATGACTCCTACCCCGCCTTCCTTCCCCTACAGATTTAAATGCTCTCCATGTCATTCTACTTTGATCCATTCTCTCTAAATGACCAAACCACCTCAACAACCCCTCTTCAGCCCTCTGACTAATACTTTTATTAACTCCACATCTTATCCTAATTTCCACACTCCGAATTTTCTGCATAACATTTACACCACACATTGCCCCTAGACAGGACATCTCCACTGCCTCCAACTGCCTCCTTGCTGCTGCATTCACAACCCAAGCTTCACACCCATATAAGAGTGTTGGTACTACTATACTTTCATACATTCCCTTCTTTGCCTCCATAGATAACATTTTTTTGTCTCCACATATACCTCACCTTTTTTCCCTCATCAATTCTATGATTAACCCCATCCTTCCTAAATCCATCCGCCGACATGTCAACTCCCAAGTATCTGAAAACATTCACTTCTTCCATACTCCTCCTCCCCAATATGATATCCAATTTTTCTTTATCTAAATCATTTGATCCCCCATCCCTTACTCTTTTCTATGTCACTTTCAACTTTTACCCTTTTAACAATCCCAAACACGTGTCCACTAACCTTTCAAAATTTTTCTTTTGAATCTCCCCTAAGCCAGTATCATCAGCAAAAAGCAAATGGTCAATTCCCATTTTGTATTTTTTTCCCCTATTTAATCCCACCCCTCTCCCAAACACCCTAGCATTTACTTCTTTTACAACCCCATCTATAAATATATTAAACAACCATGGTGACATTACACATCCCTGTCTAAGACCTACTTTTACTGGGAAGTAGTCTCCCTCTCTTCTACACACCCTAACCTGAGCCTCACTATCCTCATAAAAGCTCTTTACAGCATTTAGTAACTTACCACCTATTCCATATACTTGCAACATCTTCCACATTGCTCCCCTATCCACTCTATCATATATATCCTTAAAAATGTCTTCGATGTTTTTGGCCAGTGGAATAACTACCATGTAAAAAACATATAAAGTCAATTCATATGAACATTTTTTGTTTTAGTATGACTGATGGTGCACAACAAGCACTAAGAAGAACTATGGAACTATATTCCAATACAACTCGATTTGCATTAGCTTGCAACTCTTCAGAAAAAATAATTGAACCGATCCAGTCACGATGTGCTATGCTGAGGTACTCCAAACTCACCGATTCTCAGGTATAAAACAGGTTTTTTTTTTTGTTTGTATATGTTAGTATATGGCAGCTTTTGTATTTTAACAGTTGATCTTCTCACTACCTTATAAAGAATATATTTTTGTTTTAATGTGTATGACTTTGTTAAGGCCTAAATTGGCCCACTCACACCAAACAGAAATTCTGTACAAATGTTAGAGCTAAAAATATGGAAAAGCCTACCTAAATATTCTCACGATTAGTTGGAATGAGTAAGATTAGTGGTGTGGATTTTGACAAGGTGTTGTAGTGTGAATATGGTATCATCTATGAATATTTCTGCATTGGTGTGAAGTACATTAGGTTTACAGCTTCTGTATTCAACATTTTCTCAGTTGGAAGAAAACCCACATGTAGACAAAGATAGGAGAGGATCTCAGACTGACATCGAAATATACAAATCAACTATTCTACTCTCTCTCTCTGTCTTCATGTGGGCTTTCTTCTACCATTGGCAAATGTTTATGACACTGATTCTTCATCATTTTTCCCAGATACTTGCTAAAATTTTGGAAGTCTGCTCAAAAGAAGATTTGAGCTACACAGAAGATGGTCTTGAAGCAGTGGTCTTCACTTCACAAGGTGACATGAGACAAGCACTTAACAACTTGCAGTCCACAGCACAAGGCTTTGGTCATGTGTCTTCAGATAATGTATTCAAGGTATTCTTTTTGAGAAATCTGAATTTATTGAGAAGAAGAATAGTAAATGTGAAAGTAAACTTTTGCAACTGATTTGTTGATACAATAACATGCATTAAGATACTCATTTCAGATTCACAACAATATTACCATTTTTTTTTTAACCATGGTTCTAATTTTCCAATGAAGGAAACACTTCACAATAGTTCATTTAATAGCTGTTTTGCCAGAAAGCTGCTGCCATGACAATTTAAATCTCCCTCCAAACTATTGCGTGGTGTAATATAAAATAGGTAAATTTAGGCGAGGTAAGGACAGTGTCAGATTGTGCTTCTCACATTGTTGCTTGGTGAACAAACAGCAGACTGCTTGAGTGACTGTTAACTCTGCTACTAGGAAGGGATAGCTAAACCTTCCCAAAGGAAGGCATTAAAAAAAAACAATTTTTTTTTTTTTATTAGCATCCTGGCTGTCTCCCATTGAGACAGGGTGACCCCAAAAAAGAAGAAACACTTTCACCATCACTCACTCCATCACTGTCTTGCCAGAGGGGCACTGATGCTACAGTTCAAAAGTTGCGAATATCCCCCAACCCCCACCCTGCCCCCCTCCATAATGTAGGCACTGTACTCACCATTTCTAGGACTCTGAGTCCAGCTAACTGGTTTCCCTAAATTCCTTTATAAATGTTACCTTGCTTACACTCCAACAACACATCAATTCATAAAAAAAACACTTGCCTCCACTCCTATCTAACATGCTTATTGATCATATAATAATCAACAAATATTTTTCTGAATTTTTTTCCCTGTATGACAGCCCTAAACGAAATTACTCTGTTTTGTGCTACTGCTTCTGCTGCTTTAGGTAGCATTCCATCGGGAGACGAGTATCATATTCAGCTGCAATATGCTTCCAGTTAAGATACTATTATTTTGGTCATGATTTTGGTACCAGCACTATCTCTGGGGTAAGCTGATCCTTGTCTCTGGAGATCTTGCTCTTTGACAGTTGGTGTGCATTAAAATTTCATGTCGTCTGATATTTTAATACTGTCATTTTTGTCTTTCAGGTATGTGATGAACCTCACCCGATTTTAATCAAGGAGATGATTCAGCACTGTGTTAAAACAAACTTTGACGAGGCTTACAAGGTAAGAACATTTGTAAGAGTAATGACATATTGGTACATTTACTATTATCCCTTTACCCTGATTTCACCCAAAAACAATAATTAAGGACAAGTTAATGATTGAAATGAAAGTTTCTTTTTTTAAAGCTAATGTGAAGTGAATCACTATGGGTGCTGATGATAATATACAAAGACTATTTTCTTGTGGGAATAGAGAAATACTGCACAGTATATACATAAGCATGGTTACTGTTACAATTTTTAAAGCAAATGCTCTGAATTACTCTCCAGAATGTGAGCATCTGTTCTATAATATACTATAATATACTCCTTCAGAGTGCCTGCACTCTGAAGGAGTATATTATAGTATATTAGAGTATATTATAGTATATTAGAGTATATTATAGTATATTATAGTATATTAGAACTAGGCATTTGTAATACTGTGTCAAATTTTTAATCTCTGTATCTGTATTCCTTCCCTTAAATCGAATCTGAATGCCCTCATTCCCTCAGGCACTATATGACCCTTATGGGTTTACCATTCCCCTATGAATGTAATAATAATAATGTATCTATTTTAGATTTTAGCTCACCTCTGGAAGTTGGGTTACGCTTCTGAGGATATAATTAGCAATATCTTCCGAGTCTGCAAGAACATCAATATGGCAGAGTTTCTTAAGCTAGAATTTATCAAGGTAGGAAACAATGTTGCTGTGATTGAATTTTCTAAAAATTATAGTGTGTTTTAAATTGTGCATTGTACAGTTGAGCCTTCTTAATATTAAATTCTTAGGGGTGTGGGGTATTTGTATTATATACGTATTTATGTGATGGATACTTTGCAGCCTAGTTTTCTCTTCTCTGTCTCATAAATGTACCTTCTTTTACCTCCTCTCTCTTCCTCTTTATTTTTTCTTTTAACTTTTAAACAAATTCTTTTTACGAGGATATTTTCAGTTGTACAAGATTCAGATTGTGATATGCAGTTTGACTGACCAACTTTAAGTACATACTGTATATCGTATTACTAAATTGCATGTTACATGTCACCTGTGTTGAATAGCATTGGGCTTATGTTACCATTGGTAATACGTCCGTTTTGGAATAAGTCCAACTTGGTATACGTCCTGTTTGGACGCAAAAATTTTTGCTTGGTATATGACCTTTGTTTGGAATATGACTCACGTGCTAGAACTTGTATGGGTCAAAATGAGCCACGACACATTTTGCGCCACACTGCGGCCCAGTGCCATATTATTATCATCAACACCTTGTTCACTGAATTTAATCATTTGTAACATCTACTTTTAGATGCCATCATAAACAAAGAGAAGTAATGAATAATTCATGCTGAGAATTGTATACAAAAGCGGAGTGACTAGGCCAAACGCAGATTCATACACGTTTTCTTTGGTGCTGGACCAAAGGAAACGTGAAGTTTTCCCTCCGCCCGGCATATAAACATAGCATGTTTATATACTGTGTAATGCATTTCTTATATAATTTTGAAGAAAATATCATAGATGGATTAATGAAAATATGTATATTAACGGAAAATAAGACTTCTAATGTGCCCAAGAGTGATTATTATTACAGACTATTAGCAAAGTTAAATTTGCATTTATTTCATCTATGTAATTCTTCTGAATTTATGTATGTATATTAGTATTAAGCAGTGTTTAAATTACATATTTTAGTACATATTAAGCAGTATTTAAATTATTTTATACATCCCCATCAATGTATAATATGGCAATAACAATAGGATTTTTTTTCATGGGAACAGATTATTCATTTTCCCTATACAGTGGAACCTCTACTTACGAGTTTAATCCGTTTCATGATCTTTCTCGCATCTGGATTTGCTCATTTGTTGAGTCCATTTTCCTCATTTAAATTAATTGAAATGGAATTAATCCATCCCAGTGGAGTTCCAGGCACAATAAAATACAGCTTATTTATCTATCACAATTCATCTAATATGACATAATAAACAATATTAATAACATAGAAACATGATATACACACTAGAATGAATGAAATACAGTAGACCGTCACTTAACACGGTTTTGTTTGGCATGTTTTGGTTATAGCACTATTGAAGAATTGTGGCATGTTTTTGTATAAGACTTCATAAAATTAACTTAACACAGTTCAGTTTGAGTAAATATGAGTTTGTGTGATGACTGACTGATTTACTGACTGACTGACTAACTTGACTGACTGATTAACTTGACTGACTGACTGACTTGACTGATTTACTGACTTGGTAGACTGGACTGACTTACTGATTTATGCACACTCCAATGCAACCATCGGCTTCAGTACCAGAACCTCTACCATACACCTCAGCCCAGTAGGGCTACAGCATAACTCTCCACTCTCCTCAATCATCCACAAACACCAGCATCCACAATTTGTAATCTTAAGCAGTAAAAACAACATAATACATCACGACAATGAACTACAATTAATATTCACTTTTATTTTTGTAAGATCTGTTGATCTAAAAAAAGTTGTTTGGCTTTTTGGGGGCTTCCAGGAATGTACCATTTTTTTCCCATAAGTTCTTCAGTTTGTCTAACACAGTTTTAACTACCATGGCATTTTCAGGACTGTAACTACCATGTTAAACCACAGTCTACTGTATGTCATTACACATTTGAGTAGTGGTAGTAGAGGTGGCACCACAGCGGCCATTATTCCTGCTCCTGACTACGTACCTTCCCATGCTTTTATTATAACAGAAAACGGAGTGTTTGTAAGGCAAACTCCATTAGATCACTACTTAGTTTCATAAGGAAACAGTAGTAATAATTAATAATAACAATAATACATAATAATAATAATAATAATAATACATAATAATAATAATAATACATCATTTGCATTGGAGAAGAGATGCTGGCAAAGGCTGATGAGGTAGAAGAGATGCTGGGCACAGCGGCATGTGCAGTCAGTGGTTCATTTCGTTTCATCCTTTTTCTATTGCTTAATTGTTACACTCTGTTTGTGTTTATCAATGATTTCCTGCTTTAATTCCATGGAAATCATCCTCTTTTTCTTCTCAGCACTGTCCTTTGCACTTGCTTTCTTAGGGCCAATAGTTAGAAACAAGAAATTCTACAAAATAACTTCATGAAACGTAAGGAAATTATGAGAATTATCTCCACCACCAGTTGAAGCACACATGGAGTGTTGTTTTCACACACGTAATACCATCTCGTGGTGGTGTTCTCAAACTCACTTATACGTAGTATTATTGTAGTATTATTTATTATTATTATAATAATTTATTATTATAATAATTTATATTATTATATTACATATATAATTATATTGTACGTATTATTATTTTTTTTTTTTTTTAACAAGTCGGCCATCTCCCACTGAGGCAGGGTGACCCAGAAAGAAAGAAAATCCCCAAAAACAAAATACTTTCATCATCATTCAACACTTTCACCTCACTCACACATAATCACTGTCTTTGCAGAGGTGCCTTGATACAACAGTTTAGAAGCATATACATGTACATGTATAAAGATATATAACATACCCCTCCAAAATGCCAATATCCCAAACTCCTCTTTTAAAGTGTAGGCATTGTACTTCCCATTTCCAGTACTCAAGTCTGGCTATATAAAAATAACCGGTTTTCCTGAAGCCTCACTATCCTCATAAAAACTCTACAGCATTTAGTAACATACTACCTATTCCATATATGTACTTGCAACATCTGCCACATTGCTCCCCTATCCACTCTATCATATACCTTTTCTAACTCCATAAATGCAAGAAATCTTCCCTAGCTTTATCTAAATACTGTTCACATATATTATTATTTTTTTTTTTTTTTTTTTATTATTATTATCACACTGGCCGATTCCCACCAAGGCAGGGTGGCCCGAAAAAGAAAAACTTTCACCATCATTCACTCCATCACTGTCTTGCCAGAAGGGTGCTTTACACTACAGTTTTTAAACTGCAACATTAACACCCCTCCTTCACTGTTCACATATATGCTTCAATGTAAACACTTGATCTCACATCCCCTACCCACTCTAAAGTCTCCTTGCTCATCTGGAATCCTACTCTCTGTCTTACCTCTAATTCTTTCAATAATAACCCTATCGTACACTTTTCCTGGTACAGTGGGCCCTCGGGTAATGTCATTAATCCGTTCCAGAGAGCTTGTCTTTAACCAATTTTGTCATTAGCCGAATTAATTTTCCCCTTAAGAAATAATGGAAATCCAATTAATCCGTTTCAGACACCCAAAAGTATTAACCAAAAAATATTTTTTTTAAAGATTAAATATAGATATACATACAGAAAACAATGACAAATAAATATAAAACACTAATAAAATGAATAAATGAACATTTAACATCACACTTACCTTTATTGACTCTTGTAGGAGGCAAGAGGCAGGCGAGTTTATAATGCTTCAATATGATGCTAATATCATCTCTACGGCTTATTTTTCTATCACAATTCATCTAATATGACATAATAAACAATATTAATAACATAGAAACATGATATATACTCTAGAATGAATAAAATATATCATAATGTATGAGAGGAATATGTTGTGGAAGTATTGTTGTTGGGTTTATAAGGGCCACTTAGAGAAGCCTTACATATTCGTGGTGGTGGAGGCAGCAGCATAAGCTACCACCACTATTCACACTTAAACAATGTATGTAATTTATAAATAAGAAATATTTACATTTTAATTTATAAATAAGTAAGTTTATTCAGGTATACACAAATACAGTTATGTACATAGATTGTCATACATAGCAGCGATTTATTTCCATTGGGGTCCTTTTATATTTACACTTACCTTAGAGGAGATGTTAGTTTAATTAGTTAGTTTGATGGAGGAGATGCTGGCAGAGGTTTAGGGTGGTGGAAGATAACAGACTGGCGTATGTTCATTGGCCTGGTACACATCCAACAACATTGGAGAGTTACTTTCGTGTCGTTTTTCTATCGCTTACTCGCTTAACTTACTTGCTACACTGTTAATTCTACACTTTATCGCTTGCTGGCACTATAGCCTTTATCGATACCTGCTGCTTTAGTATCGTACGTATCGCAGAATCACTGAATCACTGCATAAGGCATATTCTCCCCTCTCCTTCCTCCACTTTGGTACTTTGCTACAAGTTTTTTCTTGAATTCTATTGCGTTTCTTTCCTTCTTTACCACAAGGCTGGCACTAGAAGCTTTCTTTGGGCTCATGGTGGCTTATTTAGCAGTTACAAGCACTAAAAACAATGGAATAATACAAAATATATCGCGTGTATGCTTGGAATCATCCTCCCTGGCTTGTAAACAATGGCACACTGTGGCTGTACATGGGCTCAGGCCATGCAGACACGTTTGGGACGAATGTCCTTAACTGAGTTCTTGGGCGTTAGCCAAGTCATTATTTTGACGCAAAAACGTGTCGCTATCTGATTTTTTCGTTACCCTAGGGTCCACTGTATATTATTATTATTATTATTATTATTATTATTATTATTATAATGCTCTTGCTTACCATTAGGAATTTTTATTCACACAAAAAAATAGAAGAGTTACTGTTATGCAGAGTACTACTGCATTATTGTAATAATTGTATGAATAATGTCAACCCATTCATGACTGTGTATTTGGAATGGCCACTCTGGACAGGTATTGTTTACTCTTGAACATCGGCAAAAATCGAACATTTCTGCTACTTTGAGCTCAATTTTAAGGTACTTTTTGTCAAGAAATCATTCAAAATAATATTTATTTCTGTAATATATCTTCCACTCTATCAATTGAGACCAAAAAAACGAGAATACAACCATAAAAACCATACGAAAATATACTGCTAAGAGGCGGCTAATTGCTGAGAAGTGAACTCCATTATTTATGGTCCAATTTCTTTCAATTTTGGCGTACGTTAAGAAGCATCTTTCCATCATACATTTCCCAAGTTTCAATAAGATAGTCCAACAAATGAGATCCAATTCCTTAGGTCAAGAGCAAGAACCCCTCACCAGCGTCAAGGAACCTCCCTTAACCCTTAAACTGTCCGAACGTAAATCTACGTTTGTGCACGTAGCGCTCCAACCTTGATTTTCTCCATAAGAGATAATGTAAAAAAAAAAGGTAGATCTACATTTGGAGCACTACGCGAGCAAACGTAGATCTACGTATGGACAGTTTAAGGGTTAAGGCCTGCTCACATCTGAAAATTTCAGTTGCGTCTGGAAACAAAAAATCAACCAAGCGACTGCTCGAACCTGGAAAAACTCGCTCGTGGGTGCACTCGTAAGTAGAGGTTCCACTATTTCTTGTGGGAAAATTCTTTTGGTATACATCCTGTTTGGTATAAGTCCAAGGTTCTGGAATGGATTAACCCTTAAACTGTCCAGACATAGATCTACGTTCACGTGCGTAGTTCTCCGACCTTTATTTTCTCCATTTGAAAGCATGTAAAAAAAAACGTAGATCTGCATTTGGAGCGCTATGCATGTAAACGTAGATCTACGTTTGGACAGTTTAAGGGTTAAGGATGTATACCGAGGTACCACTGTACTGTATATACAGTAGGAACCCCCCGTATCCACGGATTCAGTATGTGCGGTTTGAGCTATCCATTGTTTACTGTGGCCCAAAAATAACTCGTAATTTTGTTTAATAATGGCCCCAAAGCACAAAAATAGGGATGCTGGCAGTTCTTCAAAGCCTAAGAGATGCCATGAAATGCTAATTCTAGACTTATTTTGCTTAATTTATCAATTAAAGTTTATCTTAGGTATGCATGGGTTGTAAATACTGCAGCAAGGAGGAGGTTGGAGGCAGTGGAGATGTCATGTCTAAGGGCAATGTATGTTGTAAATATTATGCAGAGAATTCATAGTGTGGAAATTAGGAGGTGTAGAGTTACTAAAATTATTAGCCAGAGGGCTGAAGAGGAGTTGTTAAGGTGGTTTGGTCATTTAGAGAGAATGGAGCACAGTAGAATGACTTGGAGAGCATATAACTCTGTAGGGGAAGGAAGGTGAGTAGGGGTCGTTCTAGGAAAGGTTAGAGAGGGGGGGTAAGGGAGGTTTTGTGGGCGTAGGGGCTTGGGCTTCCAGAAGCATGTGTGAGCGTGTTAGATAGGAGTGGATGAAGACAAATAGTTTTTGGGACCTGATGAGCTGTTGGAGTGTGAGCAGGGTAATATTTTGTGAAGGGGTTCAGGGAAACTGGTTAGCCGGACTTGAGCCCTGGAAGTGAGAAGTACAATGCCTGCACTTTAAAGGAGGGGTTTGGGATATTGGCTGTTTGGAGGGACATCTAAACCATCGTATCTGAACGCCTCTGCAAAGACAGTGAGTATGTATGAATTATGGTGAAAATGTTGAATGATGATTTAAATTTTTTCTTTCTTTTTGGATTTTTTCTCTTTGGTCATTCTGCCTCGGTGGGAAATGGCTGACGTGTTAAAAAAAATATATGTAAATGAAAATGACTTACATATACTGTTCGCTACTATCCACGGTAAGTCTTGGAACGTGTCCCCCATGGATACAGGGGGTCTTCTATATTTATATACAGACTTTGCAGCATTACAGTATATATTTAATGTGTTGCAGATTTTTGATAAAACAAATTTGTAGCTGATCAGAATCTAGTTCTATATTCATGAGGTTTACCCTAGATAGAAATCTTTGGTAAATGACAGTTTTTTAGCTGCAAATGACCCCCACAGGTTTAGTGCTCTTGTGTGAATAAAATAATAATGTAAGTAATTCTCTATTTTGATCTTAGCTGTTGCATGTAATGCAGTATTGTATGACTGACTTATTGCATGTAATGCAGTACTTTATGACTGACTTATTGCATGTAATGCAGTACTTTATGACTGACTTATTGCATGTAATGCAGTACTGTATGACTGGCTTATTGCATGTAATGCAGTACTGTATGACTGACTTATTGCATGTAATGCAGTACTGTATGACTGGCTTATTGCATGTAATACAGTAATGTATGACTGACTTATTGCATGTAGTACAGTACTGTATGACTGACTTATTGCATGTAATGCAGTACTGTATGACTGACTTATTGCATGTAATGCAGTACTGTATGACTGACTAATAATGTGCAGGTGTATCACTGTCTTAATGCATATTTTTGTTTGTTGCAGGAAATAGGCTACACTCATCTGCGTATAGTTCAGGGAACATCGTCACTTCTCCAGTTGTCAGGACTTTTAGCCAGATTGTGCTCCAAATCTCTCGAACCTCTGAAAATATAAGACTTTCCAGTGATATACACATGCATCTGTATTTTAGCTAACGTAATTGTGTTCTTTTGGGTAATACTTTGTATGCATTAAACTTCAGATGATTATGTAAAAAAGATACATTTAATATACATATAGTACTGTATTCAGATGTATACAGAAAAATGCTGGAAGGAACTAATAACCCCTTCTCCTGAATAAATTGCTGAATTTAAAAAGAAAAACTTTCGTTTTTCTTTTTAGGTCACCCTGCCTCGGTGGTATACGGCCGGTTTGTTAAAAAAAAAAAGAGAGATAAAAACTGTGGAAGCTAACATGAAAGGCTGTGTGTTAGTTTGCATGTCTTTGAACCTAAGTTTTCTCTGCATTTTTAGGTGAAATAAATTGGAAATGCAGAATATTTTATGGTACATTGCATTAACCTTGTAATTAATTAGGAGTGCATATATATTTAATGTTTTATGAGTTAATTATTCCTTGAAAGTACTCCTGATGGTTTCTACAATTTTCTTAATACACCTACCATCCGACTTACGACCGAGTTCGGTTCCGAGAAACCGGTCGCAAGTCGAAATGGTCGTAAGTCGAACTTTACTACTGAATATCAACAAAACATTTTTGTAATGACTTTATTTTATTGTTTTATTTTGGTATTTCATGTTTTACTTTACTCTTTATGTTGTTAGTACTGTATTTTGTACTGTAAGGTTTAGGATAAACACTGTGTACAACACAAATAGTTGTTTATTTCCCAGAAATTTGGCATAAAAAACACGGTCGTAAGTCGAGTGGTCGTAAGTCGAACAGGTCGTAAGCCGGATGGTAGGTGTATTTACATTAGTGAGAGCGTTTTACAAATTCTATGGTTATACATATTAGCTTGCAAATTCATTTTTATTAATATATTATTTTATATATTGGTTTATAGTAATTGGTTGGTGGAAGAGTAGCTCCTCGCTCTAGTTATTTTGTGTGTACACTGCCTACCATCTTCCATGTCAAGACTAGTCCACAATTTATGGATGAACGATTAATCCTCCTCCATCCCTTGTGCTCATCAATGGGTCTAGTACTTGGTGTAATTTTTTACAGTATGTTTTAATTTTCTCCTAGGTAGTAGTTTGGTAGACAGGGAGGTACTGCCGTCCTGCTAAGTGAGTGTAAAACGGAAACCTGTAATTGTTTTACATGATGGTAGGATTGCTGGTGTCTTTTTTCTGTCTCATGAACATGCAAGATTTTCAGGTACATCTTGCTACTTCTACTTACACTTAGGTCACATTACACATACATGTACAAGCTTTCTTCTTTTCTTTCAACAAACCGGCCGTATCCCACCGAGGCAGGGTGCCCCCCCCCCCCCAAAAAAAAAAAAAAAAAAAAAAAAACGAAAGTTTCTCTTTTTAAATGGGAGAAGGGGTTACTAGCCCCTTGCTCCTGGCATTTTAGTCGCCTCTTACAAAACGCATAGCTTATGGAGGAAGAATTCTGTTCCACTTTCCCATGGAGATAATAGGAAATAAACAAGAACAAGAACTAGTAAGAAAATAGAAGAAAACCCAGAGGGGTGTGCATATATATGCTTGTACATGTATGTGTAGTGTGACCTAAGTGTAAGTAAAAGTAGCAAGACGCATCTGAAACATTGCATGTTTATGAGACAGAAAAATGGACACCAGTAATCCTACCATCATGTAAAACAATTACAGGCTTTCGTTTTACACTCGGCAGGATGGTAGTACCTCCCTGGGCGGTTGCTGTCTACCAACCTACTACCTAGAACATGTACAAGCATATATATGTATATACATACCCCTCTGGGTTTTCTTCTTTCTAGTTCTTGTTCTTGTTTATTTCCTCTTATCTCCATGGGGAAGTGAAACAGAATTCTTCCTCTGTAAGCCATGCGTGTCGTAAGAAGCAACTAAAATGCCGGGACCAAGGGGCTAGTAACCCCTTCTCTTGTATATATTACTAAATTTGAAAGGAGAAACTTTCGTTTTTCCTTTTGGGCCACCCCACCTCGGTGGGATACGGCTGGCACGCTGAAAGATGATGATGAAGTTTAATTTTGTACATAAGAGCATTTGTCGGTACGTTACATTTTCTTCTGTTTCTCTCTCAATAGTTGCTGTTTGATGCTCTTTATTTATTTTTAATGTGCCTTTGCCTTTTCTTTTCTTTTCTCTTTTTTTATGAACACATCGGCCATTTCCCACCAAGGCAGGTGTTAATTTAAGCAGAGGCATTCCTCAGTCTTATCACTCAGTTGTTGTTCATTATAAAGTAGCGACAATTACTACTATTAAATAAGATAATCGGAACATTATATGGAACTATTTGCAGTTAGTGGGAGAGCCAGTATGTTGAAAAAAAAAAACGTTTAAAGGTACTTCCCACCTTGATTTCTTTTAAACACAAAGACCCGCTCTTCATGTTTCTTTCCCTCTGCTGTCAACACTACAATGTTATTTGTTGCTTGTGACCCACATGTGTTTGACTTAATAATAATACTTTTCAAATGGCTTGAATCCCAAGGAATATGAAATATCTGCAGAATATTTTTCATTTGGCTGCCTTTTCAAAAATATAATTTCTAGAGACACTTACGATATTTTTAGATATAAAATGGAAAATTGTACATATAAATTTTAAATCTTCAGACTCTCTGATTACTGAGAAGTTTCTTGAATAGATGTTTATGAAGGAAGACACTTTACCATTCATGTTCACTCATTTTAAGTGTGTGATTCCCATTAATAATTAAACTTATAAATACCATAACTCACATCTGTCTTAGTTCATAAATCAGCCATGTAGGCAAATTGATTTACATAACTTACAAAGGCATTAATATACAATTATTTATAGCCTGCTGATGGAATAACAAAAAAATCTGTACAACCCTAGGTAATAAATTACCAGGAATAAATGATGTATGTACTAGTGTATCATAAAGTTAATAAATATTTTAGATTTTTTTTCATAACTGTACGTGTAATAGAAATTTGTGCCAAAAAATTTTCTTGGCTTCCAAAAAGTAAAATGAATTAATGAGATTTTTTCCGGGTCTTTGTAATAACATTTTTTGATTAAATATTATTTTGTGTAGATTACAGTAGTTTTATTGAACATTTTCACATCAATGTTTTTCCTTTGCATGATTTTTTTTTTTTTTAACAAGTCGGCCGTCTCCCACCGAGGCAGAGTGACCCAAAAAAGAAAGAAAATCCCCAAAAAGAAAATACTTTCATCATCATTCAACACTTTCACCACCCTCACACATTATCACTGTTTTTGCAGAGGTGCTCGGAATACAACAGTTTAGAAGCATATACATATAAAGATACACAACATATCCCTCCAAACTGCCAATATTGAACATTTTCACATCAATGTTTTTCCTTTGCATGTATATACAAAAATTCTACATTCATCAGTGCTGGGCTTAGCTCATACTTTGATTATAATAATAATACCATCAGCAATATACTGTAAATTATTAAATGCTATTAGGTTCTTTCAACAAAATGGCTGCATCCCACCAAGGCAGGGTGGCCCAAAAGGAAAAAGGAAAGTTTCTCCTCTTAAATATATGTAGTAATATATAGTCGCCTTGTGACATGCATAGCTTATGGAGGAAGAATTATGTTCCACTTCCCCATGGAGATAAGAGGAGATAAACAAGAACAAGAACTAGTAAGAAAACAGAAGAAAAGTTGAAAGGGTATGTGTATGTATGCTTGTACATGCGTGTGTAGCGTGACCTAAGTGGAGGTAGCAAGACATACCTGAAATCTTGCATGTTTATGAGACAAAAAACACACCAGCAATCCTACCAACATGTAAAACAATTACAGGGTTCCATTTCACACTCACTTGGCAGGACAGTAGTACCTCCCTGGGCAGTAGCTGTCTACCAGCCTGCTACCTAGGATTATTAGGTTAGATGTTAAAAAAATGTTTCGTGCTTTCCCATGAATATAATTTAGGAGTACAGTGAACCAACAATATTAATCCGTTCCAGAGAGCTCATCGTTAGACAAAATTATCGTTAGTTGAACTAATTTTCCCCATGAGAAATAATGGAAATTAAATTAATCTGTGACTGCCCAAAAGTATGAAAAAAAAATTTTTACCACATGAAATATACATTTTCCTACACAGAAACAGAAGGATAGATGCACAATACATGTATACACATGTATATTGTATAAGAATAAATGACACCTTTATTGAGGATGTGGTAATGATCTCTTTTTCGTTTATCCACACCAATAACAGTCTCTCAACATCTTCGACTACTTGCGATCTGTGTTTCGAAAACATACTTGCACCTTTTGCAACAACAGCTTCCTTGATTGCCTTTATGTTGGCCAAGATAGTAGCGATGGTTGGTTGGGGTTTGTTATACAACCTGGTCAGCTTGGAGACATGCACTCCACTTTCATACTTTGTGATGATCTCCTTCATTTCAATTGTAATTCTCACCCTTTTTACGACAGGGTTGGCACTAGAAGCTTTCTTGGGGCCCAGGGTGGCTTATTTTGCAGTTACAAGCACTAAAAACACTGGAATAATACAAAATGTAACGAATGTATGCATGGATGCGACCACTTTCTTGTAAACACTGGCACACTAACTGAAGGCAGGGCAGCTAAGGCGTGCTCTGGCCAGATGGGACATGTGGACGTGTTCGGGACGAATCATGTTGGTCGAGTTTTTCATTGGTGGTCGGGCCCAAATTTTTACACTCAAACGTTTCGTTAGTCGAATTTATCGTTAGACGATGCCTTCATTGATCGGGGGTCCACTGTAAATTGATCACTTAACCCTTTGACTGTTTCAGCATATATATACGTCTTACGAGCCTGTGTTTTTGACATATTTATTTATTTTATTTTTTTATTATCACACTGGCCGATTCCCACCAAGGCAGGGTGCCCGAAAAAGAAAAACTTTCACCATCATTCACTCCATCACTGTCTTGCCAGAAGGATGCTTTACACTACAGTTTTTAAACTGCAACATTAACACCCCTCCTTCAGAGTGCAGGCACTGTACTTCCCATCTCCAGGACTCAAGTCCGGCCTGCCGGTTTCCCTGAACCCCTTCATAAATGTTACTTTGCTCATACTCCAACAGCACGTCAAGTATTAAAAACCATTTGTCTCCATTCACTCCTATCAAACACGCTCACGCATGCCTGCTGGAAGTCCAAGCCCCTCGCACACAAAACCTTCTTTACTCCCTCCCTCCAACCTTTCCTAGGCCGACCCCTACCCCGCCTTCCTTCCACTACAGACTGATACACTCTTGAAGTTATTCTGTTTCGCTCCATTCTCTCCACATGTCCGAACCACCTCAACAACCCTTCCTCAGCCCTCTGGACAACAGTTTTGGTAATCCCGCACCTCCTCCTGACTTCCAAACTACGAATTCTCTGCATTATATTCACACCACACATTGCTCTCAGACATGACATCTCCACTGCCTCCAGCCTTCTCCTCGCTGCAACATTCATCACCCATGCTTCACACCCATATAAGAGCGTTGGTAAAACTATTCTCTCATACATTCCCCTCTTTGCCTCCAAGGACAAAGTTCTTTGTCTCCACAGACTCCTAAGTGCACCACTCACCCTTTTCCCCTCATCAATTCTATGATTCACCTCATCTTTCATAGACCCATCCGCTGACACGTCCACTCCCAAATATCTGAATACATTCACCTCCTCCATACTCTCTCCCTCCAATCTGATATCCAATCTTTCATCTTTCAAATTATAGTGGCTTCAAATCAAGCGGGAGAAAACTAGTAGGCCCAGATGTGAGAGAATGGGTCTGTGGTGTGGTCAGTGTGCACAGCATAAAAAAAACTGCAGCACGCAGTGCATAATGAGAAAAAAAAAATCCGACCGTGTTTTTGGATTAAAATGCCGAATTTGAGGTGTATTTTTGTATAGCATTTATGGTTGTATTCTCGTTTTCTTGGTCTCATTTGATAGAATGGAAGACATATGGAGATGATTTGAATTGGTTTCATGATGAAAAATACCTTGAAATTGAGCTCAAAGTAGCAGAAATGTTCACTTTTTTGCCGATGTTCAAGAGTAAATAAATGACATCATTGTCCAATAAGTGTCCAACTAGCCATTCTAATACGCAGTCATGAATGGGCTGACATTAGCTATACAATTACTACAATAATGCAGTAGTCTGCGTTACAGTAATTTTTTTTTTTTTTTGTGAAAAAAAATCAAAATAAAAAGCAAGAGTAATATAAGAGGAGCTTGGAGATGTGACTGATGAACAGAGAAAATTTTATTTTAGTGCCAGGATTGTCTGCATTGTTTATTCTGGACCCTATTTGGAAATTGCCATCTTTTTTAATTTGCATGAAATTGGCCAAATTGCCAATTTCTTTGCACTTTATTAGGTAGTTGAAATCGGTAAATGGGTTTCTTGTACTCAGTCGATAGAACAAATGGAGTTCTAAAGAAATAGCTATGAGTTTGGTCAACTAGAACAATGGAATTGGCCGAAAATAGGATTCAAAGTGGGCGAAATTGCTGATGCGTAAATATCGCTGAGATCGCTAACTTCGCGAGAGCATAATTCTGTAAGTTTTCCATCAGATTTCGTACTTTTGGCATCATTACCATCGGGAAAGGATTCTCTATCATTTCATAAGAATTTTTTTTTTTTTTTTTAAATTCTTCGACAATGAGAGCAAGTTTGTGAGCAGGAGTCTTGGCAGTCAGAGTTAAAGGTTCCTTGAATTGGACCAGTGCTCCAATTCCTGGAATCATACTTGAATGCCTTCCATTCCTCCGGATGCTGTACGATCCCTGTATTTGAGGTGGTCAGTCCCTCAGCCTGGAGAAAAGTTCAGCTCCATGGAGTTGAACTCTTCTCCAGGCTGATGTAACTATTGCTGCTACCACCACCACTAACTAGGTATCCTGGGTGGCATCCTGGGAGGCATCATGGCAAAGGTCACATTCAAAATCAAAATCAAAATGTTTATTTCCTTGTAAAGCTTACAATGTTTGGTTAACATGTTATAAAATATTAATTATAATGAAGGCCGCTAGCATGCGTAGGTATTTCAGGCAGACTAATACTAATACTGCCCATTATAGATACCACAAAGATAGCTCTGCTCTTGTAATTGTAAATAGGCCTCCCCCTATGATATAATTTTATTAGCTCTAAGAGTGATTGAATAATAATGAATGTTTTCTTATTTTTGGGTCACCCTGCCTCTTTGGAAGATGGACATGTTTGGCTATACTTTATCGGTTGTTGGATCTAGAGGCTTGCCGACATGAACGTCAAAGCCTAGAGAAGTTCCGCATTGAAATTATGATCTTGACAAATAGTTTCAGAGATTTACATGATGAGGATGATTCAGAATGAATCATTAGTCAGGTGATTCAGAGGAAACTGGCTAGCACTACAGTACACGAGTTGCATTTGAAATATCGGACAAACCGGTTCACGGTACAACAAATTGTTGAGGGGTTGGGAGATCTCATTTCTCTCTCTCACACACACACACACACACAACACACACACACACACACACACACACACACACACACCACACACACAACACACACACACACACACACACACACACACACACACCAGGTCAACCCCAGTGCAACCAAACACTAAACCAAAACACCCATGCCACATCCAATGCCCCCACCCACTGCATTACAAACTCCACCCCCACAGCAACCACCCATAGTTCCTTATCAGGTCTCCCACTTCCCCAACCCCAATACACCTCCCAGACCACAATCTTAGAAAAGAAGTTGAAGGTGTGGTATACGAATGCAGATGGAATAACAAATAAGTATGAGGAGTGGCACGAAAGAATCAAGGAGACATCCCCAGACATAATAGCACTCACAGAAACAAAACTCACCAGAATAATAACAGATTCAATCTTTCCATCCGGATATCAAATCCTCAGGAAAGACAGAGGGAGGAGAGGGGGAGGAGGAGTTGCACTGCTCATTAAAAACCAGTGGGGTTTGAGAAAATGGAAGGAATGGATGGCACGGGCAAAAGGGACTACTTAGTAGGAACAATCCAGTCTG